CGAGACGAAAACATGAGTGTTAATAATAATAATAAACCCAGTGTACTGAAGCTTAGCATTAAACCTAGAACCTTTAATTAAAGATTTGTGGCTGGGCGTGATGCCCAGGAGCACATAAGGAGGCTGAGGCAGGAGGATCAGCATGAGTTTGAGGGCAGCCTGGGCTACTTAGTGAGACCTTGTCTGAAAAACTAAACCAGGGCCAGTAATTTAGCTCAGTGGTGTTGCTGCCTGCCTCGAAAGCACAAAGACCCGAGTTTGATCCCCGGTACAAAAAAAAAAGAAAAACTAAACCAAAGCAAAGGAAAATAAAGATTTGTGGGTGCAGTGGTGTACACCTGTCATCCCAGCTACGTGGGAGGCTGAGGCAGGAGGAGTGCAGGTTGAAGGCCACCTGGGCAGCTTCTATCTCAAAATAAAAACGAAAAAGGGGTGGGGATAGAGTTCAGTGTGAAGGCCTTGGGTCCCCTCCCCAGTACTGCAAGGAAAAGAGGAAAAAAGAAGGAAAAGTTTGTTAATTCTCTGTGTCGCTGGATTTTGGGGTGATAGCAGCCCATGTCCATCCTGGGAGCATTCTGGGTGCAGAGAGACGAGGCACTGGCCAAGCAGCTCAGCGGGAGGCTGCTGCGGGCCAGAGCTCACAGGAACCCAGGAGGGAAACAGACCCAGGGGCGGCATAGTGGGCAAGCTCCACCTCCCGCAGGACTGGGTCTCCCCGGCTGGCCAGGCCGCCTGCCTTGCTGGGCTGAGCTCCAGGCAGCACCCACTGCTCCTGCAGGCGTCCAGCCCGATCCAAGCCACGCCGGGACCTTCGCTCCAACAGCTGTTGGTGCCCAAGCCGCGCATGCTCCATGCCAGCCCGGGTCAATTCTGGCTTCCCTGTTCCGCCCTCGCAAAAGCCAGGCGGCTTCCGGTGGCCGGGTGTGCCTGGGCCACGCGATTGGAGCGCCCCTGCTTTCTGCCACCGGGACAGGACACCGCAGACAGCAGGGACCCAGAGCTCTGGGGCAGTCACGGGCTCCAGGCCCTCACACCGCTCCTCCCTCCTCCTGAGACTCCTGGAACTGCAGCGAGAGTGGCTGAGAAAAAGGGCATGCCTGTAATCTGAGCTGCCTGGAGGCTGAGGCAGGAGGGTTGCCAAGTTAGCAACTGAGCAAGATGCTGCCTCGAAATTAAAAAAAAACAAACCCAGAAAGATCTGGGATGTAGCTCAGTGTGAAGGCTTGGGGTTCAATCCCCAGTGACAGAGGGAGAGAGAGAAAGAAAAGAAACAGTGGGCACGTTCTAAAGTAGCATTCTTTATATATAGTGTTGTTAGAATAGGGGTCCACATACTTCAAACGTGGGGGGGGCACCACTTCCAGCTGCTGTGTTTTATCAAAGGCTGCATCCACACCATCTACTGTAAAGAGGGTACAATCCTCTGTATCGTGTCGAGACTGATAGAGATCATACATGAACATCTGTCCCATTTTATAAACAGGAATGGTTGCGTAGACAGCGTAGTTCAGACCCAACAGCATAAGGGAGGGCACCAAGATGGAGAGACAGGGTGAGGGTTAGACAGCAGCACTGCATCAACCTGGTGAATGAGCTTCCTCAGGGAATCTGTGATATCCATAGAAAAGCGTTCATCCCAGCCACAGTCCAATAAAAATCTAAACTCATCAACCTGGAGAAGATAGCAAAGAACAGACTCTTCTTGGACCCCGGACAGAGTAATTAATTTAATAATAGATGTCATCTTTTTGGTCCAGTAACAGCAATCTAAAAGGTTCGGGAGGGAACAAGGTCAGGGACCCACACCATGGCTGGCAGAGGCTGGCACTGTCCTTCCGGAAGCTGAAAGGTCAGGGTGTACTGAGAACCTTCCCTGGGTCAGAACTGCTGAAGTGACTTTCGTTTGTTGAGTGACAACTTCAACTGTACATGGGTATGTCCCCCTCAGACAGGGCCTCACTAGGTAGCCCAGGCTGACCTCAAACTTGCAGTGATCCTCCTGCCTCAGCCTCCTGAGTGCTGGGGTGACGGGCGGCAGCCACCACACCCAGCTGTCTCTCTTGTTCCCTGGGAATCCTTGGTGTCCGGAGCAATGCCTGGCTCTGATTTATATGCATGGCACCATCTAGTCTACTCGTGTTTCTGTACATGGAAGTTTGAGAACTACATCGCTGAACAAAAGAGATTTTCTGCACATCTAACCTATTTCTGAAGTGAGTGACGAATTCTCAGGGGCTCCTGCAGACCCCTGGTGAATGGATGTGCTTGGGTTAGAAGGATTAAATGAGAAGCCAGGTGTGACTGTGCATGCCTGTCAAACCAGCACTCTATGAGGCTGAGGCAAGAGGGTCTCAAATTGGAGTCCAGGCCAAGCAACTTAATGAGGCCCTGTCTCAAAATAAAAAAAATTAAAATGGGCTGGGAATGTCGCTCAGTGCGGAGGCCCTGGGTTCAGAAGAAAACAAAAAAAACCCAACCACGCAGGGCCCTTCAAAAGGCACGCAGGATAGAGGCCAGCACCCCCACTCCCCACAACCCTAAAACCCCCAAGGCAACCACAGACTGGCACACACCAGCCAGGCCCTGGCCTGGGGGCTCCGCAGCCTGCACGGGAGCCCGCTAAGACTCGGGCAGCCAGCTGGGAGCTGCAGCTGCAGAAGCGCGGGAGCGGCGGACGCTGGGCGCAGCGCGTGGCTCTCGGGCGCCACACGGTGGCCAAGTGGGGCAGCGGCGGGCCGTCGTCTCTGTGGGACTTCTTTGCAACCCCCGCCCCAGCCCCCATACTGGGGATTGAACCCCAGGGTCTTCACACTGAGCTACATCCCCGTCCCTTTTTGTTTTTATTTTGAGACAGTGGTTCCTGCAGTCACTAAATTGCCTAGGCTGGGCTGAAACCTGGCATCTTCCTGCCTCAGCCTCCCAAAGTGCTGGGATTACTGGTGTGCACTGTCATACCAGGATTTTTAAAATTGAAAGCCCTTTTTAATGACTTTGCCTTTGAAATGATTAGACTAGGAATAACTGCAGTTTGAGACTGGGTCACTGCAGGCTTGGGACTTCCTGCAAGGCGAGATTTGACCTGGAGCTGTTGTGAAATGTGACGCAATCTCTTTAGGACAGCCTCTCACTACACTGCACAGACTGGCCTCAAACTCATGATCCTCCTGCCTCATCCTCCCTAGTGCTGGGTCGACAGGCATTCGGCTCCTTGCCTGGCCTAGTGAAATCTCTGTGAGCACTAAATTTAGCCAATGGTGACATTTAAAATGGTATTCTGATTTTGCTGCTTTCTTTCCACGTTGTCACAGCTGACCATTTCTTCCCTGCCCCTCAGAGGCCCCCCTGCAAAGCATGAGAGCCCCAGCCCTGGCCTGCAGCCTACAAACATGAGGATTTACTGCATGCCAAGCACAATTCCAGACTTCGTGATGTGCTTTAATCTTCACAAAGATTCCTATGGTACATACTATCACTATTCTCTTTTTTTTTAGGGAGTCAGGGTCTCGCTATGTAGTCCAGTCTGGCCCTGAACTTGTGGCGATCCTCCTGCCTCAGCCTCCTGAGTGCCGGGATGACAGGCCTGCCCACCACGCTGGCCTGTTAGTCTCCCCTTCCAAGTACAGAAGCCGAAGCCCCCCCATGCTGCTGCTCCCCAAGGTGCCCAATAGCACCTCCTCCCCCTGAATACAATCCCTCTTAGGGCTGGGGTGCACCCTGGTGAGGCCCTGGCTCCTACGCCCAGCACCACACACACACACAAGCCATCCACACTGTAAAGGGTGAGCCAGGTGGGGCAGGGAGCTGGTAGGTGGTGACACGTCTGAACTCAGAGAAGGGCGATGTGGACAGGCATGCATGCAGGAAAATCTGACAATGGAGGCAGAGACCAGGGTCACAGTTCTGGTGTTTTCTTTTTTGTACCAGGGATCAAACTCAGGACCTTTCACTTTCAAGGCAGGCAATAGCACCACTGAGCTAAATCCCCAGCCCTGGTTTTTGTTTTCTGAGACAGGGTCTTGCTATGGAGCCCAGACTGGTTTTGAACTCAAGGTGAGCCTCCTGCCTCAGCCTCCTCAGCGCTGGGATCACAGGTGTGCACCACCACAGCTTCCAGGGTGATGTTTCTACAAGCCAAGGGCACTGGGGTCACCAGTGTCCTTAGGTTCTGGAGAGCTAGCCTGGGCCTTCTGGCCCCAGCACCTATCAGAGAACTGCCGGGAGTGGTGTGCTTCAGCACCACAGCAAACAGTGTTTGTGTTTCACGCTTGTTTCCAGCACTGGGGACTGAACAGACCCTTGCACTGAGCCACAGCCAGAGCCCTTTCTAAGCCAGGGTCTCACTAAGTTGTCCAGCCTGGGTTCACACTTGGATCCTCCTGCCTCAGCCTCCTGGGCAGGCAGAATGACAGGTGCATCCCACTGTGCCAAGGGCTAGTAATTGTGTTTCTGTGGTAGGGAGGTGGGTTTCGCCCGGTAGGGCATCCGGGGGTCTGGCCGGCACCTGGACAGCAGTGCCACACAGGGAGGTCAACAGGCCCTACTGCAGGCCACCCAGCCCAAGCTCCAAGGGATTTACCTGCAGCCACCAGAAGAGACAGGCCCTGGGCCAGAGCCGCCTGCCAGGTGGCAGGTTTCTGTGGCTGCTTCGGCACCCCAGTGCCTGTGGGACTGGGGAGACCTAGCCACCACCCAGCCATGGAGGGCAGAGGGGTGCCCGGCAGCCCAGGGCAGATCACATTCAGCACCTCACGGGGACAAGGGGCCCCTCCCCTTCCTGGGCCCAGGGACACAGGCAGCCCAAGGCCCCAAGGGGGCCGTGTGTATTGTTTTGCTGAAAGGTCGCTGAAGGAGGAAATCAGAGGAGACAACACACAGGAACGCACTTTCGGACAGGCGCTGGCTCTGGCTTGGGTGAGGCATGCTTACTTGCACACAACACATGCGAGTGCGAACTGTAAACGTTTATTAATGGAAAATGGAATGCCTCGTTAACAGAAACCTTGTCTTAGAAACGGCAGAACAAGAACACATTTATTAAAAAAAGAGTTCACATTGCACCGAGCTGCAGCCCGGCAGCAGAGCGGCTTGCGTCCCCGCGGGGCGCCTCGGTTTGGTTCGGCCAGGCCGGGGGCGCTGGGCCCGGCCGGTCCAGCGCAGGCTTACGCGCGCCCCCTACAGGCGCAGCGCTCTAGTAGCGGCGGGTGAAGTGCGGGTAGGGGTGCGGGACCCTGCTGCCGCGGTCCTGGCTGGTCACTCCGCCGCCCTCCAGGCTGCCGCCCGGCACCGCGTGACCCTGGGAGTGTGCGCCCTGTGCGAAGCCGCCGCGCCTGGGAGAGAGCGGGGTCCCTGGAGGCGCTGCCCTGACGGAGTCCCCGCACCCGTCCCAGGGCTGGAGAGGCAGTTGCTAAGCTGCGCTCCGGTGTCTGCTCCTCCGCCCCCAGAGCCGGCTGACTACATGCTGGAGCAGGGCAGGCGGAGGGGAGCGAGCAAAGGGCCGCGGCCGCGCTGCTTACCCCGCCAGGCCGCCCCGACTCGCTGCGTGCCCTGGCCCCGAGGGCCCAGATAGGCCCCGCTCGGCACCTGCAAGAGAAGCGGCTTGCAAAGCCCTGCCCAGTCCCCTGCCCGGGGCGCGGCCTCCGCAGGCCACCGTACCTGGCCAGCGCGAGTGCTCCCGGCCCACCGCGCCCGCGTCCACGGTGCCCTGCCAGGCACGGACGGGGTGCTCCTCCAGCCGCGGGTTGTGCTCCGCCCAGTCCCGGCCACCCCTGTGTAGGAAACAGCAGTCACATGAGGGGCAGGGGGCAGGAGGGACAGCTGGATGCGCTCCTTCGGTGGCCCGGGAGTGCACGGCGTGCCAGACGCCACGTGGGCTTTTGTGGACAGGAACTGTCACCCAGGACAGGAGACACCCGAGACGCGGAAGTCCTGGGTGCGGGGCGCCACAGACTAGCTCGTGGTGCTTAGGGGTGCAGGGTTTCTTTGGAGGAATGATGAAAACCTCCTCATCTTTTTTAAACTTTTGAGACAGGGTCTCACTACAGTTGCCCGGGCTGGCCTTGAACGCATATCCTCCTGCTGCTGGAGTGGCTGCAATAGCTGGAGTTGAACACTGTGCCTGGCTTGGAAATATTGTAAAACCGTACTACTAGCTGTCCAACTCTGGAATGTACTAAAAGCTGATGAGTTGTGCACTTTAAATGGGTAAGTTGTAGGGCATGTAAATTATACTTTATTTTTTTGGTATTGGGCATCAAACTTGGGTCCTTGCCCTTGTGAGGCAGGTGGCAGAACCACGGAGCCAAATCCCAGGCCCTCAATAAAGCTGTTTTTAAAAAGCTGCAAGGCAGGCATGGTGGTGCACACCTGTGATCCCAGGATTCTGGGAGGCTGAGGCAAAAGCATCCCAAGTTCCAGCCCAGCCTGGACAACTTACTTAAGATCCTTCCTTTTTTTGATTGAGACAGGGCCCTGCTATGTGGCCCAGGCTGATCTCGAACTCTCGGTGACCCTCCTGCCTCAGCCTCCCGAGTGCTGGGATTACAGGTGTGCGTCACACCTGGCCTTAAAATATGTTTTCTAAAAGGGCTGAAGATGCAGCTCAGTGGAAGCGTGTTTGCCCAGCCCGGTTCAGTTATCAGCGCCGCAAAAACCAAGACCAAAGCAAGCTAGAAAAAAGCTGGTGAAACCAGACTCTCCTCCAGCCCCTTCCTATCCTAGGGCAGTTGAGGCTCAGGCTGAGCAGCCAGGGCCGCCGCACTGGGTGGTGGGGTGGGAGTGCCAGCCACCTCTGTCTCACCCCACAGCACTTAAGATCTGGAGCTAAGCAGGCTGCTTGGGAGAGAGCAAGCGCCTGGCCACCTCAGACCTCTGGAGGGGCGCGCCACACAGCTCCAAGACAGGTGTCCCCAGCAACAGCCACAGGAGAAGGGACAGCCACCGGGTGCACCCAGAAGACACCTGAGATGACGCAGGAACCACCCAGACGACAGCCGCACGGAGACAGGGAGAGCATCAGCCACCGGCACCTCCCAGACCCGCGGGGGGCAGACAGCTGAGCCAGCCCGGGAGCATGGACCCTTGCGCCAGCACCTCAGTTCCTCATGAAGACCCTGTCCACTGCCCGGGAGAAGGTCCCCACCAGGGAGCCCCACAGCCAGCCATGCCCAGGTGACCCTGTCTCACCTGCCACCCACCTCCTGCACCTGAGCCCTTCTGGAAGCCCCCTCACCTGGGGGGTGGGGGCAGCCCTCGGCCTTCACTCAGCCTCTTGTCGGAAGCATAGCCTCCCCAGCCATCGCGGGAGTCCCGGCTGTGGTGCTCAGGGGGGCCGCCGTGGCCGTGGCCGTGGCGGTCATCAGAGTAGTGCTGTGGAGCAGAAGAGGACAGGGCGATGTTCCGACCGCGTCCCCCACCCAGGCCCGGGCAGGTGTGCCTCACTGCCCGATGCCACGCACACAGGGGACCCTGCTCCCCGACTCCCCTCCTTGGGGCCTTGACTCTGCCACTCAGCCCCAGCCCTGCCAGCTGATACCACCCTCCCTTCTGTCTGCAATGGGGCTGAGAGAGGATGCGTCATGTTCTCCTGGAGAAGACACTACCTCAGAGGCTGTGGCACTGTTGCCCACGTTCCTCAGCCCGAGACTCTGGGCCACTGGCACGGTTGTCCTGTCCCTGAGCCCAGCACAGGCACCAGCAGAGGACCCCGCCGCCCACACATGCACAGCCCACACACGGCTCCCACTCACCTGCCCGTCCCGCTCGCCCATTCCTGGCCTGGACCCTTCCCTCCTGCAAAAGGAACAGAGCTCACTGGAGCCACAGCCGCGGCTCCGACGCTCCTGCAGGCCACACCAGGGTCCCAGATGGGACACTTGTTCCTGCTCACAGCGAAGCCCCAGAATGAGCAGCCTGGGGAGAAGCACAGCTTGGAGCAAAGCGGCTGGCACTCAAATGCTCCTCCCGGAGGGCAGCGTGCCAGAGTCCCGGGCGCTAGCCCCTGAGGAAGGGCTAAGAGCGGCCAGACCTCAGGCCTTGGCCCTGGGAGCTCAGCCCCCACCTGGATGACCAGGCCGCTTTAACAGGGCCAGGCCTCGCTGTAGAGGGGACTGCCAAGCCAAAAGGTGAAGTGGGGTGGCACCATGGAGCACAGCATCTGAGGAGGCTGTGCACTCCTGGGGCAGCCCCCGATGCCCCCTGCCCTGGCCTTCCCACCTGTGGTCACCCAGAGCCAGGCGGCCTCCTCCAAGCCCTGCCCAAGTAGGAAAGGGCCAGTGGCTCAGCAGGCATGCCCAGGGAAAGCCATGGTAACCCTGCCCTCCACAGTGCCCAATGGGGGCAGTGACCGGGAGCGACTGCAGCGTGCCCAGCCCAGGACCCAGCCCTACACGGGAGGACGCTGACCTGTCGGCACTGTGGTCCTGGTACTGGCCCCGGTCTCGGTGGTCAAAGTCGTGGAAGCGGTGATCAGGCCGGGGGAAGTCAGCGCGGTACCTGTCCTCCAGGGCCACTCGCTTTCCTTCCGGCCAGTAAGCGTCGTCTCGCCTGTTTGTGTTTTATTTTGCATAACAAGTTTATTTTTTTAAAGGCATACAGACCATACAAAGTAAACATTTAAACAGATTTTAACTTCTGCCCTAAAACTGTTCCATTAAGTGTCAGTCTCTAAACATTTCTAGTTCCGTAATCATCATCTTCATCAGAGTCCATTACTTTTCTTCTGTTGAATTTAACTGGTTTTCTGTTTGCTGACTTACTTTTTCAGGGATTTCTATTAAACCTTGTTCTGAGACCTTCCCACTTAGCTGTCTATACTTTGCCATCTGTATAAAGTAATTCTCTACTGCTTTCATTTTTTCAGGCTTTACAAGTGCTAAGTTACTTAACCTGGCCCAGGCTGATTGATCCAGAACTCACGCTGAGATACTGTTTCTCATTTCTGCTTCCCTGTGCTTTGCTTCCTGTTGTGCTGCATCGTTAGGATCTTTCTGGAGCCCCAACTCCGACAGTAAACTCCGTCGGGGCGGAGGCTGCTCTGTCCCCGCAGTACTCACAGCACTTGGACCTCAGCAGACCCTAAGTGAATGCTGCCTGCTCGGGACAGAGCAGCTCAATTCTACCTGTTTGTGTTTTAAAGAGAAGGCAAATGTCCCTTATGGATGAGAATGAAAGGAAGGAAAGGGTGGAGGTGGAAGCTCTCCCCAGATGCAGCCTCATTTAAAACATCCTGCAGGGCTCTCTCTAAACCTTCCATTGTTACCACTTTCGTTACACAAATTAAACCCCCAACCTGCCTGGCACTCAGCACGGCTGAGGGGGACTGCTGTGAGCTAATGCAGCACATGGCTGCCAACACCCGGGTCCCGTGTGAGGGCGGGCGACACGTGGGGAATGAAGAGTGACACTCCCCAAGTGCCACTCAGGGCCACACTCCCACCTCCCCGTCTTCTCGCCTGCAGCAGCCTCCTCTGGGTTTGTGCAGAAACAGAGGGAGCGAGATCAGGCGGCGGTGAACTACACAAGGCTCAGGAAGGCATCCAATCATCCTCTCCCCGGCTTTTACCAGAAAAGGAGACTCCCGGGACTGAGATGACAGTGACCGTCAGGCAGCTTGGAGCTGGAGACCAATAAACCTACTTTCTGGACTGGAAGGGGCACCCCCGGCACCACCTCTGCCTCTGCTCCAAGGGCACCGCAGAGGAGAGAGCAGCCTGGCCACCCTGCCCGTGGGCAGGAGAAGCGAGAGCCAGGAGGGAGAGCTCACCGGGCAGGCAAGGGGCTACAGGCCGAGCACAGGCCCCTGGCTTCCATCCCGGACCCCCATGTGACTGAGCCACCAGCTGCATGGGGCTGCAGCTGCAGGCGCTCACCTGTCCAGGTCGTAGGGCCGCCTCAGTGCAGGCCGCCGCTCCTGCTCATAGCGCAGCTGCTCCTGCTGGCGCCGCAGCTCCTCGCGCTCCCGGTGGATGCGCTCCTGCTCCTTCCTGCGCTCTCGCTCCACACGCATGCGCTCTCGCTCCAGCCGCTCCCGCTCTAGCCGCTCGCGCTCCAGCCGCTGCCGCTGGCACTCGAGCTGCACCCGCTCCCGCTGCAGCCGCGCCTTCTCCTTGCGTTCATGGAAGGCCTCCAGGCGCTGCTCCCGCTCCCGCTGCTCGCGCTCCCTGTGGAGCATGACCATCAGCACCCTCCTACTCACCAGGACCTCACCCGGGTGGGCCAAGGGCACCGTGGGCAAGGACGGCGGCCTCGGTCACAGTAGCTCAGACCCAGCAAGTCTGGGCTCAGAGACACCAGGAAGGACATGGCCACATGGAGCAGGGCGTCCTGGGTGACAGGAACATGCAGGGAAACCCTGCAATAAGCACCGAACAGGCCGAGCACCCCGAGCTACAGAACCCTACAGCCCTGAAACTGGAAGTCTGGGCGCCACACAGGGAAGACCCCTTCCTGGCCTTGCAGGAAGGGCCACAGGCAAAAGGTGTGCACACTGAAAGGCCAGGAAAGGAGGTACCCTGGGAACAGCAGAGCCTGTCCTGTCTGTCCCCTCCTCAAGGGACAAATCCTGGCGTGTCGAATCCTTCCCGGGCTGCCAGCACCTCTAATCCAGGTTCACTTGGGCCACACCTGACCCCTCACACACTGACTGCGTACAAAGGCTCAGAGTCAAAAAGAGCACCAAAAAAAGCCACCTGTGCATACAGAAAGAAGGAAGCGACACCACTCTAGAAGAGACAACATAAGCCCCACTAGAAGGAGTTGCCCTTTGTGGGCTCCAGCTCAACAACCTGCCCTGGGGGTAAGCCTTCCACCATAGGGTCAGGAAAGTTCCTTCCCTCCTTCCTGTGGCTGTACTGGGGATGGAACCCAGGGCCTTTGCACCAAGCCACATCCCCAACCCTTTTTAGATTTTACTTCACTAAGTTAGCCAGGCTGGGCTCAAACTTGGCATCCTCCTGCCTCAGCCTCACAGAGTGCTGTGGTGAGAGGTGTATGGCATCATGCCTAGCTTCTGGAAGGGTTTTTCCTTACTAAGTGGTATTTGAGAACCGAATATCACTGTCATGGCTGAAGGTCCCAGCGGAGGTAACAAGCTCATGACAGAACTATGCAGGCCGGCGTGGGTGCGCACCTCCACCCAGAGCTGGGACCTCCTGGGAGTGGGCTTCCCACACGCCATGGGCTGACTGCACCCAGAGACACATGGGGAAAAATGGTCTCTGCACAGCTTGAGGCCATGTGTCACAGGAGCAAGGGTTCTGGCGAAACACGCATGGCCACACACACACACTCAGCCCCACCCCTGCCTGCACTGCGCTCACCGCCGCCGCTCTGTCTCCCGGATCTCCCGCTCCCGCTGCCGCTGCCGCTCTCGCTCCCTCTGCTCTTTGATTTTGTCAAATGACAAGATGTCTCTCTTCTCCTTGCTTTCCGATTTGCGATCCTGGCTCTTGGAGCTCTATGTATTAGAGGCAGTGACAGATTACAGCACCGTAAACAGCAGCACACGGACATTCCAGGAACTAGGATTCTGAAAGCTTCTGCCCTGGTGAAATGCTCAATGTCTGAGGTGACCGGTAACCCAAACCTGGTTTACCTTAAGCAGTGAGGTTTCACTTCTGTTACAGGTAGGAAAGAAACGCACTCTGCAGGGCAAGCATGGCCTGACGAGGAGTCAGAGAAGTGCTCTGCAGGAGAGGGCAGCCTGCGAAGCCCGACTTAAACCGGGCACGGTGTGCATGAGTCTCCACAGACCGGACACTGGTGCCTAACTTGGGTTGCTTTTAGTCTGGGACAGCGCCTCACAAAGTTGCCTCAGGTGGCTTCAAACTTTTGATTCTCCTGCCTCAGTCTCCCAAGCAACTGGGACGACAGATGTTCACCCTCCCGCCTGGCTCAATTTTCATGTTTTATTTAGCAGTTAAAAAATACATTTACTCGGGCAGGGGATTTAGCTCAGTGGTTCTGCCACCTGCCTTGCAAGCGGAAGGACCCGAGTTTGATCGCCGGTATCAAAATAAAAAAACCAAAAAAACCCAACAAACCATTTATTTAAAAAAAAAAAACTTTAAAGAAAGAGTGACTGCAACCAAAGCACAGAATGAAGTGCAGCCCTGGACAGACTGCGCTCTCCGGTCCCACATGGCCCAGCACAGGCTGCAGCCTCACGCAGACGCCGCTCCCAACACCGCAGGGCACTCGAGGGCAGCCTTGTGGGGGCAGCAGACAGAGCCACAGCCTCGCAAGGCCCAGCCACGCCAGCCGCCCACCATGCCAGGGAACAGGGTGGCTGACCACAGTGTCACCTTCCCACTGGTGGTCCAGGCCCCCAGCAGCCCTGAAACAGAACCAGTCAAAGGATTTTCCTGCAAACTGGTGCTCCTGATGACGCCCAGGGTATGCTAGACCTGGGTGAGGGAGGACAGGTCTCCAGGCTTCTGAGCTACAAGCACACACACCCCAGGGCCTCCTGCTGCCCCCAGGACCCTGGGCAGGGAAGGGGATGGCATTTCTAAAATACACCACAGCTTAGTTCCTCAACTAAGCAGTGCAGGAGTGGAGTATAACAAAGACCAAGCACAGGGCATGGTGGCACACACCTGTCATCCCAGCACTCTGGGAGGCTGAGGCAGGAGGATCAAAAGTTCAAACCCAGCTTGGGCGACTTACTGAGACCCTGTCTCAAAATAAAATTTAAAAAGCGCTGAGGATGGAGCTCAGTGTGAAGGCCCTGGGTCCAGTCTCTCAGCATTCCCCTTCTCCTCCCCCAAAACGGACAGAATTAGGCTCAGCCACAAAGCAGTTAGGAAGTTAGGTGTGGCTGCACACACCTGTCATCCCAGCACTGGGGAAGCTGAGGAAGGAGGATTGCTGTGGGTCTGAGGCCAGTCTGGGCTACGTAGTGAGTTCTAGGCCAGCCGGAACATCACAGTGAGACCATCTCAAAAAAGCAAAAAAATAAAATAAAGATAAAAACATCAAGTCCTTTCTGTGGGTGCCTTCTCTCCACTTCTCTAGTGCATGGTCTCTGTGTGGCTCAGGAAGCACAGGAAGTGCTGCCTAACAGAACCCACTCTCATTTTTGCTTTTGTCTCCATGACACTGGGGATGGAGGCAGGGTCTTGCACTTGCCAGGCCTGCGCTCATTCTGAAGCCTGCAAGCTGCAGTATGACCCTTGCTGCGAGCGTTTCCACATGAACATCCAGCAGCTGGGAGGCAGAGGTTTTGCATTTGTTCTTTTGTTTTCTCTGGGCGTTATATAACCCAGGCTGGCCCCAATGTCACAGCTATCCTCCTGCCTCAGCCTCCCAAGTGCTGGATTACAGGCACCGCTGAGAAACACAGTACCTTACAACACTGTCTAGGGCCAGGCTCACTTTGGCTAACCCAGCACCCACTACAGGATCACCCAGGTGGGGCAAGGTGACCTGCTCTGCCCTGCAGACAGCCCCTCCAGGAGCCAGTACGGGAAATGTGCTGGAGAGGGCCGGGATTCGCTGTTCGTCTACATACACAAGCAGAAGAGCTCCATGCGCCTGAGCACTAAGTAAGTTTTAGAATCTCAAAGGGAAAAGGGGAGCCAGAGGCAGGATTGGGAAGTTGAGCCCAGCCTGGGGATATCAGTGAGACCCTGTCTCAAAAAAAGGGCAGGGCATATAGCTCAGCACGTTCAACCCACAGTACTGCCAAAAGAAAAAAGAAAGACAAACAGACAAAAAGAGGAAGGAAGGAAAGAAGGAAGGAAGGAGATAAGACGAAGCAAACTCTGGAGCAGAGGTGCACTTGCTCCCTGAGCAGCGGACACTCACCCTCTCCTTGGACCTGCTGGTGGTCTTGACACTGATGACGGGCTCACCCTTGGACTTGTCCATCACCACCGTCCGCTCTGTCCCTCTGCTTCCTTCAGGAAGAAAGGCGGACATCAGAGTGTGTGCACACCTCAGCCCCCACAGCCCTGTCTCCTGTCTTCCCCTCACTATGACATCAAGCGAGCCCTGCAGTGGGGAGCCGGGGGACACAGTGGCCTGGGCACTGTCAGCTGGGTCCTGTGCCCGAGGAAAGCAGGCACTGTGCTGTCATCCCTGAACATCCAGTGTCATCCCTGAACATCCAGTGTGCAGGGATGAACTGTCCCGCACAAGTCCATCACCTCCACTTCTGCTGGGCCCTGGCTGCACGCCTCCACTCCACACACACACACACACACACACACAAGCAAGCCCGAAACGCGGGCCTGGGCCTGGGCCTGGGCCAGGGCCAGGGCCAGGCATGACATTGTCCCTCAGGAGTGCCGCACCAGCTGGGCCACTGCTCCCTGACCCAGCAGCAGAGACTCCAAGAGCAGTTCTCACCCACAGCATGCCCATGCCTAGGTCTTGTGCTGGCAGGCTCTGCAGAGCAGTAACTCGTGTGGGGAAATTTATGATGCTGCAGGAACACTTTAAAAGCCTGTTGCTTGAGAGATTGCTGCTAAATTATCCCAAACACCCAGCACTAACTGGCGCTGAGCTGCTCCACATTGAGGCACTCCAGGTGGCTGGGCTCTGGGTCTTTTTTTAGAGATGGGGTAGGGGGGTAATTTTCTGCCACACATGTGGAGCTGCACACAAATTTGTTGGTGCCAAGCGCAATAAACATTTATAAATGACAACAGATCTGGGATCTTCCTAATGTAACTACTTCTACGGGTGTATATGTTCCGAGATTGCAGTTTTCTGTTTTTCTTAAGCAACCAGCTATGCCCCCCAGGCTAGCCCCAACTCCCAGCTCCATCAATCCTCCTGCCTCGTCCTCCTAAGCAGCTGGGACTACAGGTGGACACTGTCATGCCCAGCTGTTTTCTTCTTTCTATCGCTGGGCTCTGACAGCAACTCAGGAAAGGGGATCCCACACTTGCACCAGCAGATCAGCTGCAGGGAGCCAGGTGGACTCCCTCTTGCAAACTGTGGATCTCATCCTGCCCCAGACCAGGGTACGCAGGGATGGAGAGCTCACACCCGACCCAACCTGGATCCCCTGCACCCTACCGGCATGGAACAGGACTTCGCAGGCCACTGCTCTGCCAAGGCGGCTGCCCTGTGGCAAGCAAACCCCCAAGGGCCCCTACTAGCTAGGTCTCTGCACCTCCTTAGCAGACCCTATTGTCACCTGACTTAGTGACTCTGGACCGGTTTGCAGGCCCTGGTTTCAGCTCGTCTTGGTCTTTTTCTTCCATTTTAATATCTTCCGGCCTCTTCTCCTCCTTTTTTTCAGTCTTCTCTTCCTTCTTGATTACAGTTCTATTGAGAAACACGGTAACCACATTAGCGTTCATGGGAGTTGATCACAGGCGCGGCCCGAGCCCTATCCGAGCCAGCATCTGAGTACCAACGGGAAGCCGCACGCACGCACGCTCGCACGGTCCCTCCCACAGGAATGTGCCCGGAGCCCAGGCCGCACACACGTAGGCTGGGCAGGTGCCCTACACCCGCGCCGCAGCCCAGCCTCTTCCCGTCTGCTGGTAGTACTGGGGATTGAACTCAGGGGTGCCCCACCCATAGGCTACACCGGATCCTGCTATGTAGCCTAGGCCAGCCTCAAACTCACACTGGTCTCCCTCCTGAGTGCTGGGATAACAGGCGTGCACCACCACTTGTTTACCTTTTGAGACTGGGACTCGCTGAATTCCCCAGCCTGGCCAAGGTTCTTGCCACAGCCTCCCTGAAGAGCTAGGGTCACAGGTGTGCTAACACCCCGGCCACGGCCAGGTCCCACTCAGCTATCTGCTACTGAACACACAGGGAGGCCGTGCTAAGGATTTGCGCTGCTTCTCCGAGACACCACACAAACTGACTTGAGACAGACTGCAGATGTGCAGGAGAAGCTCCCCAACTACCTAAGGATGCCTCTCAGATGTGTTACATTGGTTTCACTATGTATGCATGAAATATTATTTTTTGAAGTGTTGGGAAGACAACATTGCTTCCAAATAAAGGCAGTGCAGCAAGGACAGAGGTAAAGCAATGAGCAATGCAGGCCTGCAGGGCTCAAGACTACAGCAAGTCTTAAAATGAACAGAGGTCAACTGAGGTGGTTATTTGAAGAAAAGAAGAAAAAAAAAGATAAAAAGGCTCCACTTCCTAGGTAAACCACCCGAAGGCAGATTTTTTTGGTTTGTGATACCAAGGGTGGAACCCAGGGCCTAACACACCCACTCTACCAGAGCTATATCCCCAGCCCTTTTCTCTTTTTTTGTTTTGTTTTGCTTTTTGAGACAGGGTCTCCTTATGTAGTCCAAGGTGGCTTTGACCTTGTGTTAAGACCCTTGCCTTAGCCTCCTGAGTGTTAGGATTACAGGCATGCGGCCCCCACATGTAGCCAGCCCTTTTCATTTTTTGAGACAGGGTCTCATTAGGTCACTAAGCTGCCCAGCCTGGGGTCAAACATGCAATTGTGTCTTAGCCCCTGCAATAGTGGGAATTACATGTGTCATCACTCCTGGCTATAAAGCAGTTTTTTTGTTTTTTCTTTTTGTGACAGGGTCTGGTTGTAGGTGAGGCTGGCCTTGAACTATTACCCTCCTGCTTCAGTCTCCCCAGTGGTGGTATTGCAGGTATGCAGCATTTTTTTGGTACCAGGGATTGAAATCGGGTCCTTGCACTTGGAAGGCAGGTGGCCGAACCACTAAGCTAAATCCCCAGCCCAGCAGTTTATTTATTTTTTTGTTTTAATCCTTATTTACACTTTCAGTTTCCCACACTAGAGAAACTATTCAGTATTTACACGTGTGTCCTATTTATTTCACTTAAGAGTATGGCCTCAATATGCATCCATTTAGCTATAAATGACTCTAGTTTCTCATTGTTTATGGCTGAGTAGTACTCCATTTTATAAAAAAACCACATCTTCTTTATCCAGTTTCCAGTTGATGGGCACCTGGGCTGTTTCCAAGCTTTAGCTATTATAAACTGCCACTATAACCATGGGTGCACATATATTGCTGTGGTATGATTCTTTTAATTCTTTGGGGAAGGTACCCAGCAGGGGAATAGCCCAGCAGTTTATTTTTAAGTATCTTAAACCCACTGTCCAGAACAGGCCATGGGGCTCGGAAGAGCCATTCAGGTTAGATGCCGGCCTTGCCACTTACTGGCGGGGCTGGTGACCACAGGCTGGCACCTGCCTTCTGTGGTCCTGCTTCCACTTCTACACAGGGCACAGCTTCCCAGGACTGCTGCTGCATACAGGATGCAACACGGAGTGCGGGCTGCTGAGCAGCTGCTAGCTGGCCACCATCTTCCTTTCCCACAAACACATCTCAACTTTGGATCAGAACAATGAATAACTGCACTCCAGGATGCTAAGAACGTCTGGTAGGCCCCATTTCCCAAAACAATGCTGACAGGACGTTTGTCTTTGAATAGGGTCTCACTCAAACACCTGAGGAAGGCTTCCAATTCCAATCAGGCCCCCAACTCCAAATGGGGATCACAGTTTTCAAATCCCAGTTCCATCTGAGTGTTACAGGGCATGGGGGCACATGTCTGGCATCTCAGCACTTGGGAGGATCACTGTGAGTTCAAACCAGCCTGAGCTACACAGCGAGACTCTGTCTCAAAAACCAGCAATAAGGAGGGCCTGGGATTTAGCTCAGTGATGCTGCCCCTTGCCTCACAAGTGCAAAGTCCCAAGTTTGATCCCTGGTACCGAAAAAAACAAAAACCCAACAAGGAAATCCTTATGAATACTAACAGCGTCCACAGAAATGTTTCCTCCACATATTTCCTTATATAAAATGACACCAAGACAAATTACCACAGGACAGATTCTTAGCAAACAGCTCTGATTTTAGAGCCTGGATGCAGGGGTGAGAATGAATCATGTTGATGCAAATGCGGCCACAACACGCGGCTGACACTGAGCCCCTCTCCCCACCCTGACTTCCAGCACCTCCTCCAGAGACTGTATCTCTACCATGTGCACCCCAAGCTGGTTTGCCCCGGACAGAGGCCGCAGATTTGATAGGGAGACTTGCGTGTCCACAGCCACGCTGCTGGAGAAACACATCCCCCTCTGTGAGAAGTGCTGCTGCTGTCCCGCTCCTACCCTGCCAGGCTGAGGTGCCCTGGGTGCCTGTGCACTCGCAGTGGCTCGGAGTTATTTTTAATTTTGGACGTAAACAATGTGATGCCCAACATCTGCTGCGTACAGCAGAAATGACAAGCTCAAGGTCACCTGCTGCAGGAGGAGACTGGGCTGTGCTCCCCTGGTGGCCTTTTATCTTTGGAAAACTGGGTTTTTTGGCAGTTTCAGTGGTTAAAAGAAAGGCACAAAAATCAGTGCAGATGAGGAAATGATGTTACAGTCTCAGTAGCTGTGCCAGGGCCCAGGGTGTTCACAGTGAAAGCAGGGCGCTTTTGTTTTAGGTGCGCCTTTCTCAAACACCACCAAGGGCGAGGATGTCACTTACAGGGATCACCTGCAGCCAGGTAAGGGGAAAGATCACTGGGCTAAAGGCTCTGGAAGGTCTAGGCTGTGAGCTGAAGAGAGGAGCATGACACTGCTCACTCATGGGGACATGGGGGTTGCCACCCGCCTCCTCCTAGGACCCCAAGGGAAAGTTTAGAAACTACATTACTTTTCAATTTTGACCTCCACAGGGTGATGTCTGTCAGCACTGGATAACTTTTCCTTCTTCACCTCACACTCTTTTCTGTCCAACAGTTTCTTCCCAGCAGGTTCGTTTTTGGCCTGAAGCAGAACACGGACAGGGATGATGTGTGGACCAGGGCTTGTCCCTTGTCAACTCTGTGAGTCACGACAGACAGTGATGGCCTCACCTTCTCCACCGAGATCATCCTTCCATGCAGCTCAGTTCTGTGCAGGTGGCTGATGCACTTGGTCGCCTCCTCAGATGTCGACATGGTGACAAACCCATAGCACCGGGCCCCAGGACTGCGGGCATTGGTCACCACTTTGGCCCCGACAACCTTCAAGAAAAAGGGCGCTCTTTTTCTCATACCAATAACCAGACAACTTCTCAACATTACCAGCTGTTAAGGGACGATCAGCATCACTTCCACTCTTTGCTGCTTCCACACAAGTGGGGGGGGCGTTTCTTCATAATTAGCTCTAAAACTGGTTCTAACGAACCCAGACCTACCGAAACATGAGCCCTCCTGACACTAGGTCAGCCCTCACAGTGAACATCTCCTTCACCTTCACCAACCTCAGGCCGGCCCTTGCACTTGTGGACAGAGGGGGCCGACTCGGCAGCCAGGCTCCCGCAGCAGAGAGGCCTTCTGTTCCCAGCCCTGAGTGCCCCGGGGTGGGGACAAATCAAACCTACAGGAAGGAGGGCCCGATGCCTTCACAGCCTGGCCTGCAGGCTGCCCAGGACAGCAATCCCGAGGGATCCCTGTGCTCGCCCCTCTTCCTGCCTGCAGCCTCCAGACCCTAGGCAGGGAGGTGGGTTCCCAGCGAGCTGGGGAGAGTGGAGAAACTGCAGATCCAAGTGGCAGACTGGAGAGAACTGCAGAGATGTGCAGAGGGCCTCTCCTCTCCTCCTGGGCACACAAGCGAGGAGCGCAGAGAACAATCCTCAGGTGGCAGATGCCTCACTCTTCCTGTGAGCCAGAGGGGAACCAAGCTTCCATCCCAAACGGGGTTGGGCAGAGTATTCAGAAAGCTATTGCTCCAGGAGTGAGACCAAGTTTAGCCCTAAGCGAAGGGCCGCTGGGGCCCTGAGTAACAAATCATAAAAGCAAGGCTCAGAAGGTCCAAGCTGTGCTCCAGAGAAAAAGGATTACAATGATAGGCACCCCAGAAGGTAAAATTCGTAACACCTGACACCTCATCAAAACTCTCACTAGGCATTAAAAAAAAAAAAAAAAAAAAAATCACTGGACCCACATAAGAGGAGGAAAAGTTAACCCACAATGGAGAAAGACCCAATCAACACAAACTGGCCCATACATGACATGGATGAAAGAAGTAGCAGTCATGGATTAAGAAGTTATTTCAGCCCGGTGTGGTGACACACGCCTGTTGTTTTAGCTATTCAAGAGGCTGAAGCAAGAGGATCCCAAGTTCAAGCCAACCGGTGCAACTCAGCAAGACCCCAACTCAAATTGAAACACAAAAGATGGGGAGTGGTCAAGTGCCCTTGGGTTCCACTCCCAAGGTAACTGTTTAATGCAAGAAAGTCCAACCAAAGCAAAGTCCGTAAGGTATAGAGTGATGACTATACAGAAGTCAAGTGCTGGGAGACTGGGAGAGGGGAACAAATAATAAACGTATTCCCACCAAGTTCTTATACTCACACAAGCACAGAACTACTTGGAGATATAAGATGTGTATTATCATTCTTAGAAAACAACCACTAAAGCCCAGTATGGTGGAACTTTCCCATAATCTCAGCACTTAGCAAGACCCTGTCTCAAAATGAAAAAAAGGCTGAATGGGCTGGGGGTTTAGCTCAGTGGCACCATGCCTGCCTCACAAGCACCAGGTCATGAGTTCGATCTCCAGTAAAAAAAAAAAAAAAAAAAAAACTATTTTGAGGGATTCATCTTGGAAAAATCTATGAAAATCCCAAAATACAGTATGATGTGAAGAGCACACGTCTGAACTCCAGTCACCTACCAGGATCTCGTATGCCGTCTTCTGCAAAAAAAAAAAAAAAAAAAAAAAGGCCGAGAATGTAGCTCAGTGTGAAGGCCCTAGGTTCAATCCACAGCACCGGGGAGAAAAATAGTAAAAAAATAAAAATAGGGGCTGGGGATTTAGCTCAGTGGTTCTGCTGCCTGCCTCGCAGGCACAGGGTCCCGAGTTTGATCCCTGGTACCAAAAAAAAAAGTTTATAGCTAATAACCAAAGGTCATACAAAGAGACTCAGTCCATAAGAAGACAGATGAACAAAAAAAAAAAGAATAACAAGGCAAGGGCTAACAGAGAGTCAGGTGGGTTCACAATGCTGGTTTAAAGTGCACAGTCCTGGCATAGTGGTGAGCGTCTACCCAGCATGCACGACACCCTGGGCTCCACTCCTGCTACCCCCAAAAGTGCACGCCTGGTGCCTTAAGGCATTCAAAGCTGCAAGGGGCAGGGCCAGTGACTTGGAGCAACGGGAAAAGCCCGGGACAGCCAGGATAGTCTCAGGCCCTCCCAACACCAGTCAGCTTCAGGAGGTCACTTCCTCTCCCTAGACTTGGGGGGCACAGTGCTCTGGGTGCTACTGGACACTGAGGGACACAGACGAAAGTCCCTGTATCAGCAGTGAAGCTCCGTGTTTCCCTCCCCAGTCAGGAAGCCAAGCCAGGATGGAGACAGCTCAGAGAGGTGAGGGCATCACCTCGGCACCAGACCCAGTGGCATAGCCAGCAGCCTAGCTCCAGGTCCCCACCCTGCCACCTGGCCTGACCCCTCCAGCACCCTTCCATTGACCGCATCCCGTGGGTCGCCTGGTCCCTTCCTGTGCCATGACAGAGACATGGACCAGGGAATGAGGCCACTTCACAAAACCTCACCTTCTCCCCAGGATCCTGCACCTTCCCAACACCACGGGGTCCCGAGCTTCCCCCACCAGCTCCGCCTTAAGGGCTGCTGCTCCAGGCACCAGAGGACCAGCAAAGTGCCAGGAGCTAAGCCCAAGAGCACTCCCCGGACTACACATCTTTCTAAATGCCCCAAGTCCCCACAGCAGGAATCTGGATCAGGTAGGGCTTCTGCCACCCTCCAACACAGCCTGGCACATCCCAGTCATCAAACTACACCCTCGCACGCAGCAACGAGGTCTTCACTGCTGAAGAGAGACTCAGATGCCAGCGCTTGGCTCTGCCTGAGCCAGAGACAGACACTTCTTGCAGACAAATGACCAAAAAACACAGGCACACCTGGGTGGCCACTGTCTGCCGAACCTGAGCAGACCTAAGGCGCAACGAACCACCTTGCTCCCTGTGCTCCTGGCTGCCCCTTCTTCAGTCTTTATTTTTACTTTTTTTACGATACTAGGAATTGAATCTAGGGCCTTTCCATTGAACTACACCCCTAATTTAAATTTTGAGACAGGGTCTTGCTAAGTGACTAAGTTGACCAGGCTGGACTTGATTTTCTGATTTTCCTGCCTCAACCTCCAGAGTGCTGGGATGACAGGTATGCACCATGGCACCCAGTCCTTTCCTTTTAATTAAAAAACCAGAAATGAGAACCAGTGAAACTGACAGCATGAACTGAGCTCTCAAGTTTCTTCTTTGTGTGGTCTGGAGCTACACATGTCAAGCCAGTGGCACGGAGGGGCACCCCCGCCCCTGGGCTTCTCTCTCCAATGCGCCCAGGTCGGCAGGGGCACCTACCTTCCCGTATTTGCTGAACAGGTTCTTGAGGTCGGTGGCACGCGTGGTAGAAGACAGTCCGCTGACCCACAGGTTCCGCCCAGAGCTGCTGCTGACACGGCCTGGCGCAAGAGAGAGGCTGTCACATGGAGCCTCGTGGGGGACAGAGCACCACTGCTTCACAGTGCAGCCCTCTATAGCCCTCGTTACACCAACAGCAGGATCGGGGCCTGGCTCTCTGCTGGAGGAGCCAAGGGACAATCCCAGGCGGAGAGGCCTCTGCAGCATGGAAACCCATTATGCTGTTACTGCATGGCCAGAGGTCCTGACGTGGGATGCGATCGGCACCACCCTGACAAGCAGGACAGAAATGTAAAATACAGATGCCCCTGACACCGCCAACTCGGCTCTGCAGAAACCACTGGGGGGAAAGTCCCGTGGCCCATAACGTAGGACTTAAACTCCCGGGTGCAGAGGGACATCTGAGGCCCTTCCTCCCAACGCAACTCCAAGCACGTGGCCCCCAGCTGTGTACGTTCAACCATACCTTTTTCATCTTTAATGACTGGCTTTATATCTTTTTCTTCCTTAAAGGAGCTAGAGACAAAAGTTAATGTTACTCATACAGGAAAAAAACTAAAGTGAACTAAATTAAAAGTATGATATGTGCTAAAACTGAATACCTACCAGAATATTAGTCTGAAATAAAATCTTAACAGGCACCTTTGCAAGCTTATATTGGAAAATCTGACCCGAAAAGTACAATGTCAGATTCATAAGTCAATTCAATTAAGCTGAAGATAACAATTAATGACAATTTAAGAACACAACCGTGGTAGGTTGAGAAAAAGAAAAGAAACCGAATCACCCATTAAAAATACACAGAGAAATAAAACATTGTTTGGAAGTAAAACTACAATTTCAGCAGTCTGGCTGGCCAATTGCAGAAAAACAGCTTATGTGTGTCATAAATGACCAATGAAAAGGAGATAGCGTCTGGTCTAAAACTGAGAAACAACAAACCTCATTTTCTGATCAGCGCCCTCACTGGTTGAGGACTCTTTAGGAGCCGGAGGGACTTCATTACAAGCGTCAAACTCAAACTTCTTCACGTCTTCCTTGCTATCTCGGGGCTCCGGGCTCGGGGCTTCCGTGGGCGCTTCTGCCAGCTCCTGGCTAGAGGCCTCCGGCAGCTCGGAGGCCGCGCTACTCTGCTCAACTGGCTTCTCTAGCCCTACAGGCTCACAGTCCGTCCTCGCGCCTTCGCCTGTCTGCTCCACGGGCTCCCTTTTCACTACCGCTAACAGGGTGTCTGCCTCGCTCCACTGAGCGCGCGTTGACTCGCTGGCCAAATCTAAATCTCCCTCCTCCTCCTCCTCTTCTTCCTCTTCCTCCTGCTCTTCCTCCTCTTCCTCTTCCGGGTGGGCGCTGCCAAAAAGGTCCTCTTCCTCCGCCAGCTTCCTGTCTGGCCCCACGCTACTTGTATCCTGTGCAAATGGCTGCTCCAGCTCGGAACCTTCTTCTTTTACTGGCTCAGATTTACAAGTTTCCCCCAAAATGTCGAGTATTTTCTCATTTTCTACGGATTTAACAGGAATAGAATGGCACAAGGTTTAATTACCAGGGAAATAAAGCAATCACAAATGTGGAACTGGCACGGCTGCCACACTAACACGAAGAGCACCGCTAGCTACACAGAGATTGGAAAACCCGCGGGTACACACAGTTACACTGTACACTACCTGCGCTCCGACCACTGCTACGCCAGCCTCTAGCTACGGGGGAGAGAAAAGGCCCCAGACTCAGCAACTAGAACCACTGGCTGCTTTGCGACAGCCTTCTTCTTTCTGGATTTTCTTCAAGTATGGGTCTTCTGACTGATTGTCCAATGTCCACGGTGCAGAACCAAACAAATCACTGTTCTCCGAACAGCTCAACTTCCTGTTTCTTTGAGTTGTGGTTAGCGAACAGTTCAGCAGAGCCTCTTCCGTCTTTGGTGGGACAGAAACATAGTCCAGTGGGGAACGGCAGGTTCAGAGTTTTCTCGAGGAAACCCTGCTCTTCTCTTCGGGGATCCGGCCCCTTCTCGGGCGGCGCGTGCCCTGACACCAGCTTAGTCTGCCTCAACTGCGGTAACCAATCGACTGCAGCCAAATATCACAAGATCTGTTTTGTGTGTGGAAATGCGTGGCGGAATCATGGGGACATTACTTAAATGCCACTCTGCGTGGTCAGAGATGAAAAGCACCCCTGCGTCTCACGCACTACATTTGCCCTGGAGAGGCCCGGACGGCATGCCCACAGATCTGGTGATACGCATGGGTTTCCAATCTCTGACCCTCGTACCACCTGTACTGTCCACCACTAGGGTGATTTACAAGACCACACCACAGCTTAAGATACACACAGCTTTCAAACAGGGCTAGTGTGAGACCTTCCAAACCAGAACTGTCGCGTTTCTCTTATCAGTACCTGGCTCCAAGAGAGGTTCTTCAATATCCTGTTAAAAAGAGAAGAAAAGAGCACATCCACCCGTCACTTTAGGAACTGCACAACTCTGGCTTCTGAGAACAGATCTGCTCCGGGAACACTGCCGGTGCATGCCTGCGGGACCAGCGCTGGGCAGCGGCCATTCCTGGCCGGCCGAGGTAAGCCTGAGTCTGGGTGCTGGCCAAGGCTCTGGGTCAGAGCAGAGGGAATCACACAGCCAGCCAGCCATCGGGCATCACACTGGACTTGGGAACTGAACCACTTCCCCAAGCAGACTACCACGTGGGAGGAGAGCCTGCTACCTTCAACAAACCCGTCCACACTGCTCAAACCTCCGTGAAGTCCCACTGGCTCAGGACACCAGGCCCCACTGTTCCCCAACTTAGGGGCTGAGTTGGTCGCCCCCTTTCTGCAGCAGCTCCTCTGCACTGCCCACACCAGTGCACCTGGCTCTGCTCTCCCTGCTGTTTGGAACAGCCCCAGCAGAGGGCGCGTGCAGGGGCTGAACATGCTCAGCTGACCCTGGCTGCCTAGCTCAGCACCCCACCGTCTCTGCCACACACTCTCCTCAGCTGGGAAAACCACCACGCATTCGTCTCCAGCATCAGCTTACCGGAGTTACTTTGGAGTTCAGTGATGAAGCTTCCAAAGGGTTCTCAAAGTCTTCCCCATCCACCTGAAAGAGGAAACGAGGACCGCTCTGTGGAGACCAGCGCTGCGGCACCAAGGCTTCCACCTCTCTGCCATCTAGGCCACCTATGGCCACATCTGTCCTCTCAACACCTGCTACTCCACTCTGGAGCGCCGCCCCTCACTCCCTCCCTGCTCTGCCACACCTGCACCAGCGGCCATGGCTCTGGCTGAATGAAGGGGAAATGAGCTTGCCTGCCAGTCTCTGCACACTGGTGACCGACTTGTGCCCCCAGCTGCACCTGTCCCAAACAACTCCAAATGATCAGGCAGATTTCACTTGGTGACAATAAATATTGTAGCTGAATGCCTGCATCTAGGTTGCTTTATTTATAACATGTATTTTTTTTTTTTTTCAAGACAAGGTCTTGGTATGTAGCCCAAGCTGGCCTTGAACTCACTGCCATCCTCCTGCCTCAGCCTCCTGAGTGCTGGGATTATAGGCATGCACTACGATGCCTGGCTTTACAATACGCACTTATTATGTCTTTTTTTCATTGAGACAGGGTCTTGCTATGCAGTTCAGGCTGGTCTTGAACTCACCATGTAGCCCAGGCTGGCCTTGAGACCCTAGCAATTCTCCTGCCTCAGCCTAAGTGCTGGGATTACAGGTGTGCACCACCACGCCTGGCACGACACATATTTAAAAATTGATGGCCAGGGATTTAGCTCAGTGGTTCCGCTGCCTGCCTCACAAGCGAAAGGTCCCGGTTTGATCCCCGGTACCAGAAAAAAAAAAAAAAAAAAAAAAGGATCATTTTCTTTTTTAGCTCGTTATGAAACAAAAGGAAAAGTGTTACCACCTTAAAGTCCACTAAAATTGAAGACCCTTATCTCTTCATGTGAAAAACAAAAGCATCCCTTCCTCCTCGTGCAGTCGTTAACCTAGCACATGTTTCGGGGGCACAGACAAGCACTCAGAGAGAGCCGCACGGGGAGGAGGGCAGACCCCTGTGGCTTGAGGTGTCCACTGCCCCTCACCCCCACCCCGGGGCAAGCCAGGGACATCTGGAGTTGGTGATTTCTGACTTTAGGGCTATGGTATAACCCTAAGCACTTCCTCCAAAGTGGAAAACTGTAATGCTTCCCAGGAACAACAACAAAACCCCAACTATAACAGCTGGCTGCGCAAGGCCAGTCAGATTAAAATGACAATCAGAACTGGCTCCGGAGGTGTGTGCCCATCATCCCAGCGTTCTGGGAAGCTGAGGCAGGAAGGCTGTGAGCTCAAGCACAGTCTGGGCAACTTAATGAAAACGTTACCGCAAAATAAAAACCAAAAGGGATAGAGATGTAATGCACTGCAAAGGCCCTTTAAGAAAAACCAAAAACAGAACTATTTCTTGAGCCAGATGCATTGGGACCCGCCGGTCACCTCAGCTGCTCGGGAGGCAGAGACAGGAGAATCACAAGTTCAAGGCCAGCCTAAGCAACTTAAGACGACCTTGTCTAAAAATAAAAAAAGGCTGTCCAAAAACTCCCTCTTAAATGGAAAAGGCTATCCTTAGCTGTGCTGGCCTTTGATTTCATAACCTAAATGGTCAGAAAGAGTCTTCTTGCCAAATATTCTAAAAATACTCGCCAGGACTATTTAGCCACATTTAGACAGCAAACTGGGTTCGTGGGGACTTAGCGGAGCACTCCCTCGGGACAGGCCCTCGCCCCCGGCGCATACCACGCGTCTCCAAGTTACCTACAGCGTGTTCCGAGAGCCGAGCTGGAAGCTGTCCCAGCTGTGCAGCCACGTACTCTTTACTGTCACACAAGGGACCGAGAATGCTGTCGTCACCGCCGCCGTCCTCCCCGAAGTCCGGAGCACTGCTGTCCTCAGCCTCGTCTAACACGCTCATGCCCACCACGCCCATGCCCTGCAGGTTCTCCAGGCTCACGTCCACATCCTCCTGGAAGAGGGGGTGGCGTGTCAGCCACCACGGCAGCTGGAATTCAGCGCTGCCACACTCTCCCGAGACGCCACGTACCTGCCCGTCTCGAGAATCTTCTTCCAGGCCGTTGTCTTCTGTGCCTTCATCCTCCATCTTTTGCCCTAATTACAGAACAATTGTTTGATCAGGTAACACTCAAGTACTGGCCTCCTACTTAGTTGACCCAGGATGACAGCTCTCAACCTCAGTCAGAACACGTCACAGAGAAGTCAAAGTGTCTGCTCTGTCACTCGGAGTTCCGTTTCAACTGGTGCTCTACAGAAGCCCTCATCTGGGACAGGAGAGGTGAAGACCTCAGTGACTGATCAGTGCTCTGAGATTTTTCACAAGATAGCTAAACACTTCAAAAGACTTCACAATTGTTCCAAACTAAAACAAATACCCCAAAAGAAAATTGAGCCAAAGATAAACGCAAGGCTTTCCCAACCAACCCAGCCAACACAAGGCTCATGAGTAATCACGGAACTGCACCCCACACTAACACACTGTGCAGGGGTCTATCTCCGGGGTGGCACGCACCCAGCACCAAGGCCTGGGCTCCATCCCCAGCCCCAGGAAAAGCCCACCCAAACCATGCAGGCTGGTGCCCAGCTTGCTCGGGCTCCCGCAGCCGCCCATCCTCAGCGCCAGGAGCCCCGCCTTTGCCCCCCTGCAGCTCTGCAGGCAGTGTGGCAGAGGCTGTCACAAAGCTATCGGCCCCGGGCCTTGTGATGGCAGAACTATGCAGTCATGGTAGCTCCTCCACAGGGCTCGGGGGGAGGTGAAATGAAACTCCAACTTGAGAGGCAGAAAAAACTCTGGGGCGCCCACATCTCACATTTGTAAACTTCGCACACCCTCTGCTCCCAGTCAGCTTTCGGGGTGCTCAGTAAAAGTGTGGCGACGAGTTCAAACCAGAGCTACTCTCCTGTCTAAAAAGACACAATGCAGACACCCGAAAGGAAGTCACACCCGCCCGTTTTTGCTCACTGGCAGTAGACAAGGCAGACAGTAGCGCTCAATGGGGCAGGTAGTACAGCCACGGTGGAGACAGCTCTGGTCATCACAACTAAGGGGTCCAGGGGGATCCTGGTGCACCGACGGTAGAGGCCAAGGGGGCTGCCACACGCCTGCAGTACATAGGCACTGCCAGCCCAGAGCACGCAGCGGTGCCCAGGTGAAAGCCAGGGGTGCCACTGGAGCCTGACAACCTGAAAGGGTCTCACTTTGAAACAGTAATGACACAGGAAAGCTTATGAAGTACACACCAGGTAAACAAAAGCTACTTTTATTAAAAACCTGTATGTGCTGGGTGTGATGCACACCTGTAATACCAGCACCTGGGAGGTTGAGGCAGGATGGCAATTTAGGACCTTGCATGGGTAAATTAGTGACCAAAAATAAAAAAGAGCTGGGGGTGCAGCTCAGTCCAAAGTCCTAGAATTCTATCCTCAGTACCAAAATAAATACATAAAAACAAAAGAAACCCTACAACTTTGCGCGCGCGCACACACACACACACACACACACACACGAGTGAGGCCACATTTGTACAACTCACAGATGCATGTGGCTAGGGCCATTACCACTGCAGTTAAAATACTACTAGGTGTTAAAACCCTGACTGGCTGAGGCTACAATTTTATGTTCACGTGCATTTTTCCCATTTTCCAGGTTACCTGTATTTTCAGTTTCAAAAGTAAGAAAATTAAGCATTAAGAAATCTGATTATCAAAGGTCCTCACTGGAGTGTTCACAACATAGGAAAGCCGGAGCACGTCAGTCGCGGGGACCGCCAGGCCATCACCAACAGTCCCCACAATACCTGCAGGTCTCGTCATCCCCGCCTCCCATGGGACAATTTGGTTCCACTCCAGAGCTGGGACTCCCAACTCCACTGTCGCGCTCCCCATGACATCTATACACAGCCTCTCCTTCCCAAACCATGGTTAGGACCGTCCACCAACAGCACTGGCTCCTAGGTCTCCAGAGCCACCTGCAGCTCCCCTTGGGATTCGAGCAGCAGGGACACAGCCCATTGCCCTGTAGGTAGGGGGCGCCCCAGCGCACAAAACCAAATCTTAGGCCCATGCCCAACCTAACCCCGAATTGTCATCTTTCAGCACCACTGGTTACCAACCACTGTGCCTGGCCAGACAGGGTAGGGAAAGTGCTCTCGCTCCAATCTACAGTAAGGAGCTTTCTTTCTGTCCACGAGTTCAGCCACTCTGCCCCAGGAAGAGGCGGCAGTTCCAGGGAAGGTCTCCAAGGAGCCCCGTGACCAAGTGCAGCAGTCACGGCCTTTTCTGTCCAGAGTCTCCAAGCTGGGAGCTCCTGCAGTTCTAGGTGGGAGACTGGGCCCACTGAGGACCTGGGCCACCTGACCCTCCTCACAGGGCCGGACCACTTCCCTGCAGGAAGAAGAAGGGACCAGAGGCCCTTCCAACCCCACTGGAGCCGAAGCTACAATGCTCTCTACCAGGGGAACTCGCACATGACCTTTCCTGACAAAACACTAACTCTGAGTTGCTAGGATTTGACTTGAGCTTTGATCCAGAAATCCAGACAAGTATTGGAAGCACTAATAGCTACAGCTGGCACCAAATCTTCAGAGAAGGGTTAGTTTCTCTAATGATGCAAAAATCTCTGGTGGAAGCTGAGGACATTTGTTAGTATGTCTTGAACTTCACATTTAAATGAGCATGGCTGTTTAAGTTTCATTGGGAGGCTGAGGCAGGAGGATCACAAGTATGATGCCAGCCTGGGCATCAGAGCAAGACCTTATCTCAAAATAAAACTTTTAAAAATGGGCGGGGCTGTGGCTCAGAGTGCTTGCCTACCGTGTACGAGGGCCAAGGTTCAAAGAAAGTTTTAAACTCTAGTAAAGTTTTCTCACAACTAAACAAAAACACATTTCCAATCGCGGCTAATTTCACATCCATGCAGGAGAGATACCGGTGTGGCTCCTGCGGGCCACCAGCCTCTCCCATTCTCCAGCAACTTGGTCAGTTTCTTAGCTGAAATCCCAACACTTCCAAGGACAACAAAAACACATCAATGTCCCAGACGTAAATTCTAATTTCAATTCCTTATGTTGCCTAACTGAAAAAGCTAACCTTTCGAAACACTTGCAGCAGTTTTAAACAGATGTGTTATGGAGAAGTTGTTCTTCTAGGAGCAGCAGCTTAAAGATAAAGGGATACTGTTGGAAGGGCTACCGTTTAATTTCTTTTCACTTTCTCAGCAGCTGTCCTCACTACCTGAATTTAGGGTCTCTTCCCACGATGGGAACATGGGCAGCTGTGAGAAGTTCCACACGGCACCTTCCAGAAAACAAGTTCAGGCTGGGGGAATGAGCTCCGTGCTCAGGACACACAGGCCCGAGCACCGCAAAAGACAAAACCAAGCCCAGCACCCAGAGTCTCAAATGATACTGTCCTTCTCCCTAGAGAATCTGATAAGGACAGAGCCAAGTAGGACGGTGAAGGCTTCAAAGTCATGAATTCAGAGGTCTCTGAAAATAACTTATCAATCACAAAAAGTATGAATGAAATACTGAAATTAGGTTACAAGGCTGAGGGTCAAAAACAGTTACTCAGTAGAAGAAAACACAAAACACCACACCGTGTGATCCTGATCACATGAAATGTCCAAAACAGGCAAATCTAGGCAGAAAGTAGATTCGTGGGTGCCAGGGGCTGTAGAGAGAGGGGCCCAGAGTGACCACTAATGGAGATAAGGTTTCCTCCTGAAATGACAAGAATGTTCCAAACCAGATAAGTGATGGTAGCCATGCAGTCCCATGAATATCCTAGAAAGCACTGAATTGTACACTTTAGGTGAAAGTTTAAGAGCTTGTAAATTATTAGTGTTTTTGGGGGGGTTTTTTTGAGACAGGGTTTCCCTATGTAGTTCAGCCTGTCCTTGAACTATGTAGCTCAGGCTGGCCCAAACTTGCAGAGATCCTCTTGCCTCAGCCTCTTGAGTTCTGGGATGACAGGTGTGCACCACCATGCCTGGTTTTTTTTTGTTTTGGAGACAGGGTCTCACTATGTAGTTCAGGCTAGTCTTGAACTCACAGTGATCCTTCTGCTTCAGTCTCCTGAATACCAAGATTATAGGCCTGTGCCACCATGGCCAGCTGCATCTTGATTTTTAAAACAACACCAGGGTTGGAGGCAAGTCAGTGGCAGAACGAACAACTAGCAGTGCAAGGCCCGAGTATGATCTCAACATCGCAGAAAAACAAAAGACAACACACTGGTAAAAATAGAGGCTGGGTGCAAATATCCCAGCAATCTATTTTGGACCCCAGGGAAGCCAGTCCCTCTTCGGCCTCAGGTTCATGACATTTTCCTTGGTTTAAGACCTATTTTTTGAACAAGGAAGAAAGCCAGGCAGAGGCAGCATTTGTTGCTTGGATTGGTTGGGGCAGCTTTCCTCTGTTCTTTCCTAAAACAAAGGCTGAAACGTTTCCATATCTATTTTAACTCAACTCAGCACCTACATGCTGTTTTGCAGCTTTGACACAACTACCTGACAGGGAGCGAGGAGACAGCTTCCATCCTAGAGGGGGAACTGATGGCTGGCAAAGCAGTTTGGACAGCCAGACCACAGAGCAATCCCTCTGTTCTCTAAGAGAAGACGTGTGGCTACCTTTAGCACATCTCTTTGCTGTCTTCTTGCTAGTGGTTTCCAACTCAATGCCAATTTCATCCGGATCTTGCCCTTCTTCCTTAACCGCCTGTTGGAAAGAAACAGAGTTTTACAAGGTTACTTATTAAGTGCGGCGTGGCACACCCTGTCCCCTAAGTGGCTACTCCCCAGAGCACAAAGGGCTTCTGTTACGTGGGCTGCAACTCCAAGGTACAGGACGAACCCAGCACAACTTGGTTCTGTCTGGGCCCAGGGCCCAAATGACACAGGACAGGGACGCTGTGGATTTTGCTGCAAAATCAGGGTCAACGAGCATTCCTGAAAAGGTCACTTAGCCCCGTGTCACCCAACCCTGTACTTGTCGTAGTTCTGAGAGAGCCTCACTATGTAGCCCAGGCTGGCCTTGAACTTGCACTTGCAGGGAGATCCTCCTGCCTCAGCTGAGACTACCAGGGTGCACCACCACGCCCAGCTTGCAACCCCGTACTTAAAAGTCACACACGGGGACAAATAATAACAGAGAAGAAAAAACAAAAACCAAAAACAGAGAGACTACATCTGGCCCGGCTAGGGCAAAGGGTTGGGTGGGGTTACGTGGTTTTATATATACCCACCCGGTATTTCAATGCCTGAGAAATCATCAGGTCCCCACTCAAGGTGCATGTCTCAGCTGTGGACACCCACAAACGTCACACACATGTCAACCGCTATGAAGCTAAGAGTGTAAGCTCAGGTCCAGGTCTTGACACAGGTGTAGGGAGGTGGAGCCCCACCTCAGGGAGAGTGGTCGGGAAGTGACAGCTTCTACAGCTCCCAGGGTGACCACGGGCTCCACGCAGAAGACCTGGGACACCTGGATGGAGGTGTGAATGCAAAGGCCCTGGGGTAGGGAAAGCCCCGCCCCCTTCTATGCCTCTCAGGCACCCATTCTGCCAGGGGGAAACTGAGGTGCAGAGGGGAAGGAACCCATGTTCAAGGTCACCTGTTCAAGTGTCCACCACGAGCAGAGGGAGCTGCCGGGGCCAGCCCGCAAGCCACCAAGAGCGGCCTGAAGCGCCCTGGGGGCGAGGGGCTGGAAAGAGGCTGGGAAGCACGGCAAAGAGAGGAGCAGTGGCAGCCAAGGTCACACAGCGGGGACCCTGGAGACTGACGGCGGCGGCTGAAGGGGTCGCCCAAAGTCCAGGATCGCGGTGACAGGCCGAGTCCCCGCGCCACCTCACCTTCTTGAGCCGCTCCATCAGGACACTCTTGTTGCCACCGGTGTCCAAATTCCGCTTCTTCAGCTCCGCCCGCAGGTCGATCACTCGCAACTCACTGAGCCGCCGCGTCCCAGTCTCCGAGGGGCCCGAACCCAGAGCAACCGTGCCAGAGCCCGAGTCACCCGACCCTGCCAGAGGTTCCGCCATCCTCGCTATCGCGGTTTAGCGCCCTCACCGCCGGCGGCTGTAGCGGTTCTGAGCACAAAATGGCGCCGCCTAAGAGGAAAACGCACTCGCTTCCTCCCGCCCCGCTTTGCGGCCGCGCATGCGTACCACCCTCACGAGCGTTCTCAGCCTCAGGCAAGCTCGCTCACCGACCAACCTCATGTCCCTCGCCACAACGCGCAGGCGCCGCCACTGCAGCACGCATGCGTCGAGATCGTCCGCGGCGGGAGGCCCAGAAGGAGAAACGCGCCTGCGCACATCTCCCCGGGGTTCTCACCACGCATGTGCAGATGAGACTTGGAGCGTCGGTCTCGCGCCGGATGCGCCTGCGTAGAAGCGAGGCGCGCCGGGCGGCTGGAGCGGTTTCCTCGCAGGCGGCGCCATTTTGTGCTAGAAGCCGAGAAAAAACCGGCCCGGTTCTGTGTGAAGGGGGCGACGGAACCAGGGTCCCTGGAATGGCGGAGACTCTGTCGGGTTTAGGAGATTCGGGTGCGGCGAGCGCAGCTGCTCTGAGTTCCGCCTCGTCGGAAACCGGGACGCGGCGCCTCAGCGACCTGCGGGTGATCGACCTGCGGGCGGAACTGAGGAAACGGAATCTGGATTCCAGTGGTAACAAGAGCGTTTTGATGGAGCGGCTGAAAAAGGTAGAGCGGGGCTCTAGGAGTGGGCCCAGGGTGGCTTGAAGAGCCCCGCAGGCGCGACTGTGTACCCTCGGCTGCCCCCGGCCTGGCGCCGGGGTCTCTTGGCTCTTTCAGGGCCCGGGATGCTCCGAGGCCGGCTGGCCTCGCCGCACTGGGGCGAGGAAAGGGGGGGGTAAAAACAAGCAAGGTGCAGAGGGGAGAAGCGGTCGCCGTCCCAAGGTCCTGGGAGCAGTGACATCGGCTCCGGCGCTGAGGTACCTCCTCCGCGGGTCCCATCTCGGGTTCTAGCTGGAGCGGGACCCCAAAATCCGCACTGAGTGAGATTGAAGGCGTTCGGTCAAGGTCACACAGCCGGGGCGGGGAGTGTCGGGATTTGAACCCAGACCCGTCCTCCCCCGGGGCTTCAGTGCTGGGTTCCCGGCGGGGGGGGGGGCGGACACCGAAAAGTAAAGGTAAACTGCTCAGGGAAATATCCGAGGCGAGGAGAAAAAAAGAAACTGGTTTTAACGATTTTCCAAGGACTAGCCGGGGGAAGTAACGTGGCAGGAATGAAGAGCGCCTGTCAGCTCTGGGAAATGTCAGATACATACTGTTACAGTATTTTTTGTTTTGTTTTGTTTTGTTTGAGACAGAGACTTGATTTGTAGTTAAAGCTGGCCTTGAACCCAGTGTTTATCCCAGGGTAGCCTCAAACTCGCGGAGATCCTCCTGGCTCGGCCTCCAGAGTGCTGGAAAACAAGCGCCATCTCGTGCACTTGCTGTTAGGTTTAAAAAAGAAGGAAAAAAACATCGGAACTTTGCCAGTTGTGTCCATCTGGCCTTGCTGTTGGGCACGGAAGACCTTTAACCTCTTGTGGGTCTGTTGTTTTGAGGGTGGGGAAGGGAGAGATTGAACCCAGGGCCTTTGCACTGAGCTACATCTCCAGCTCCTTTTTTAATTATTTATTTTGAGACTGGATCTGGTGCAGTTGCCCAGGATGGGCTGGAGCTTGCAATCTTTTCTGGGGGGGGGCGGCGGGTACGGGGGATTGAACTTGGGTCCTTGAACTTGCTAGACAGGTGGTGAAACTACTGAGCTAAATCCCCGGCCCAGGAGCTTGCAATCTTCCTTCCTACCTCACCCTCTTAGAGTGTAGGGATTAAAGTCTTTTAAAAGAGAAATGATAGTGCTTTGGGATTAGATAAGGTCGCGTGGCATGGTTTGGCATGTTGCCTGGCACAGCTAAACACTACTTGTGATTGTTATCACAGTTTGATTTTCCTGTCAGTGTCACCTTTTGTCATTAATAGATCAGGTCTCTAACCTTGAGGGATTCTTTTTTTCTTTCTTTCTTTTTTTTTTTTTGATACCGGGGATAGAACTCAGGACCTTGCGCTTGTGAGGCAGGCGCCAGAACCACTGAGCTAAATGCCCGGCCCCCTTGGATTCTGAGGGATCCTTTTATAGATGTGGTGAGCACCCCAGTTAGTCCCTATTTTCCTTGTTCTGGGGGGAGAGGGCGATGCTTTTTCTCCTTTCTTTCTCCTATTAGAATCTTGGGGCCTCTCCTCTGCAGTCTTTAGCTGTACCACCTGCCCTCCAGCCCTTTCAGACAGAGGCTGGTGACTCACTCCATCCTCCTGGACGCTAAACAACCAAAGAAGTTTACGGTTTTAGTACCAGTTACTATTAAGATGAAATAGGGATTATTTCCCATTTTTGTAAGGAAGAAGCTTAGGCTCAAGAGTGGTACCTGATGTGCCTAGACGTGCTTGGGCCTTTTTAAAGCTCAAGCTTTTGTTTCTTTCTGTGTAGTTACTGAGTGTTTATTGAGACAGAGCAGGAACTCTATTGACCAAGAGATTTACCTGGAGAAAATGCAGGAAGAGTGGAAATTCACCACTGGGAAGGTGTGGGCCCTGTTCTTAGAGCTTCGTGTCAGCCAAACCAATTTGGGGGGGCCTTATCCCCAGTGAGTAAGCCTGTAAAGCTTCGATGGCCTTGAGTTTCTGTCAGGCTAGGGGCTGGGACTAGTGTATGACCTCCCAAATTGTTTTCTCATTGCCCCCCTGGAGGGCACAAATGTATCTCCCTCTTCTCAGGAATGTAGAGTCAATGCAGAAATGCCACCAACCCATAGGCTGTCTGTTAGCGGGCCTCAGCAAGGCTGGTGAGGCAAGGCTGGTGTCGTGGAGCTTCTTTCTTTCCCACTCTGTCACCGAGTTGGTATCCTGTTCTTGGTTTTTGCCAGGAACTGCAAAAGAGCAAAAAGTGGAGGGATTTGCTGAGGCCTGCAAGGATGACTGTAAACATTGTGCCCATGGGAGACACCAGGGGTTGAATGGGACGCCTCCTGCCTGGGGCAGCTCTGTTCATGTGACAGTTCAGAATTGGCTGTTGCTAGGAAGAGAGCAAGAACTAATTGTGCTTTTCCTTGATCTCAGAACAGAACTCCGATTCCTTCTGGTGTTCATGTAGAGGAGAGATTGTCTTTGCTGTTGGTAGAGATTCTGTGCAGAACCCCAAAGTCCCAATACTAAATTCAGACTTACCAAGCTGGGAAACTCCTGAAAAATCTTAGAGATGTCTGAAGCTGTAGGTAAAACACAGCACTTAACGTGGCTTTAAACAAACCATGTGTAGGTGAGGGTGTGGCTTAATGGTAGAGAACTTGCCTAGTATGTGCCAAGGCCCTGGAACTGGCCCTTAGCACTATGAGAACAAAACAACACAAATGAGAATTTGAGCTCACAAGATAGTACAATAATGAGAGAAAAGGTTATAAGTAAAACCAAACTTGAACCCATTTATAGGAGTGCTGTCAACAATATGGTTACTGATTTGAGGAGTGTCTGCTCTGTGCTGGCGGGTGCTGTGCTGCAAAAGGGGATGAATGACAGATGCTTAGGGTGAGAGGCATCACCTGCCCAGAAACCCTTACTCAGTATGCTGATCGGTACAGAGAACTGATGGCCGAGGAAGGTCCTGGAGGCAGTCGGGGTGTGTGTGGTCCTGTGCCCATCACACTGTGGGTGCTCAGCCAGTGAGTGTCAGTGTTTTACCCAGACTGTTTGGAGCACAGCTGTGCCATAGAGAGGTGAGGCTGGAGGGCTAAACTGCATGTTGCTGGGTAAAGCTGAAGGGAATTCACCGGTGCTTTTCTTTTTTTGAGTTCTTTTGGGCCCAGGAATAGAATGAACCTTTTGGTTGTTGAGTGTTTGCTCTACACCGTGCCAGAGTCTGCACAGCAGCCTGTGTTCCAGAGAGCAGAGTAAAACTGCCTGCATCCCCACACTAAGAACTCATGGTCTGTTTACCTTCAGAGCCCCTGTTCCCATGTAGAGCAGGATAAGAAATGGATGGGAAGATAGGTGTCCATTGGGCTGAGGGCATTTTCAGATTGGTAGCAACTGTGTTCTCCTAAAGATGAGGATTCTGGGAAAGTCCATGTGGGTGTGTGTGAGTTGTTTTTGGTTTTTTAAAAGAGGACTTGTAGTGTTGTCAGGGTTGATCAAACTGCTGGGCCCAAGACGTCTACCGACCTGAGCCTCGTGAGCCACTGGGACTGCAGGTGTGTGCCGCTGCACCGGGCTGTGTGGTTTCTTGGGTCAGCTTCTTTTATACCTTCCCTTTAGGCAATTGAAGATGAAGGTGGTAACCCTGATGAAATTGAAGTTACGTCTGAAGGAAACAAGAAAACATCCAAGAGATCCAGTAAAGGTATGAGGGATTGATAAGCATGTGTGATGCTCTGTGGTTACTGGATTGTCTTTTGTTTTTTGTTTTTTTGGGTACTGGGGATGGAACTTGGGACCTTGTGCTTTCGAGGGAGGCATCGGAACCACTGAGCTAAATCCCCGGCCCTGGATTGTCTTTGGACCAGCAGCTACCCTTCCCAGTCAGAGGCAACACACTAGTAAAAGTTGGGGCCTGCTCTCCAGATTTCCTATGTATATACAGTCATTTAAATAATGTAATTAGTTTGCTTTTTTGTCCCCCCAAAGACAGGGTCTCGCTCATGTAGCTTTGGCTGGTGTCAAACTCATCACGATGCTCCTGCCTCAGTCTCCTGAGTGCTGGGATGACAAGTGTGTGCCACCACACCCAGCAAGTAGCTACTAGATAGATATGCATACACAGTTGAATACACACATCTTTGTTTGAAGAAATTGGCCCTGTTACACAAAATCTTATGTAATTTGCTTTTTTCACTTAGAATGGGATATCTTTTCTATGATGGTACAGATGGAATAAATAGGCCCTATTCTTTATCTATAGACTAATACCCTGTATACCAAAGTATTAGTGTTTAGTTCATCGGTCTGTCATAGGTTTTTGCCAGGTTTTACTGGGCATTTCTAATTTTCAGTGTTGGCATGAGCCAGAGGTACTTCTTCAAAGTTAAAGGAATATTTTTGTTTTGCTTTTTGAGATAAAGTCTCACACTGTGTTGCCCAGATTAGCCTAGGACACCTGGGCCCGAGTGATCTTGTCTCAGCCTCCCAAGTAGCTGGGACTACAGGTGTGCACACTTCTATGGCCAGCAGGGAGTGTGTCAGCAAGGAGTGTGTTTTTGATAACTTAGTAAAGGCAGAATTTGGGGGTCAAAAGGTATGGCATTCTATTTTAAACTAACTAGAAACAAATAGCTCTCCAACAGTACTGGTTAATGTCTGTCCAACAGTGGTTGCCTATTTCTTTAAACTCTCATTAACAACTGAGGTTTTAAATTTTTTTAAGTTGCCTATTAGAATAAAAATATTTCATTGTATTCATCTGCATTTCTCTACAGGTAAAATTTCATTTGCATTTCTTTACAGGTTAGACAAGCTTCTGATTATTGGCCATCTGTGTTTTCTCAATTGCCTTTTTATACCTTTTGCATATTTTTTACTGGGTTGTGATTGCTTTCTATAGAAAATATTGCACTTGTTTATTCCAGTCTGTTATTTGAGTTGTTTATGGTGCTTTGGCTAGTGAAGTCTTACTCTTCTATATGGGCAGTGTGGCCAACCTGTTCTATATGGCTCCTAAGCTTTATGTTGTGGTTAAAAAGAAAGATTACCCTATGTTACAAAGTAATGTTTATGTCTTGTTTTGTTTTGTTTTTGAGACAAGGTCTCCCTAATATGTATTTCAGGCTGGCTTGAACTCTCAGAAGCCTCTGGAGTGCTGGGATTATAGGCATATGCTACCACACCTGGCTAATGATTTTATTTTTACCTCAGGGTATTGAAGTCATTCAGACTTTATCATTGCATATGGTGTGAGTGGCAAGTGGAATCCAAAGCATGGAACATTTCCCACATTGAAAACTAGTCACCAGCTCCACCCACCCCAGCCAAAACAAAACACTGTTGTGATTATTTTCACTAGAGATTAGTTTCTGTTTTTCTAGAACTTCATGTAAGATGGCGTCATGCAATAAAACCTTTTGGTGTCTGGTTCCTCCTCTCCCTTGGTATAATTATATTCTGGACCTCTGCAGTCCATTTTGATATTTAGTAGCACAAGTCTGGTAAGTTTACTGAATTATTTTTTGAGTACCTCATTAGGTTCTTATCAACATTTTAATTGAAAATAGAGTGATGTGTTTAATGAATGAACTCGTTTAAAATTCTAGAAAGCATAGCTCAAGAAATCTCAGCACCCCTCACTACATTATAGTTTTACATCCATAATGTTTTTAGCAGAATCTTAAAATAATTATCAGCAAAGTAAATTTCTTTGTAGTGGTATTATCACAAACACAATTTAATAGACTGTTTTGCAGTGTTTGAAAATGTAGCTTGGAGACGCAAAGTCAGCTTTTTAAGTATTACTTAATCCTGTGCATTTTGGTTGTTTTGGTGTAACATTTTCGTATTTACAGAACAGTTGTGAGATTAGTGTAAGGAATTCTTGTGTATTCTTCACCCAGATTCACTAAATGTTAACATTTTACTACCTTTGCTTCTTCCTTCACCCTTTTTCCCTAAACTCTGGTTGGTTGGTTGGTTGGTTATTTTTTTGGTTTTGTGAGACAGGGTCTTCCAAGCTGGCCTTGAACTAACCTGCACCCCTGCCTCGGCCTCCAAATGCTGGGATCATAGGTGTGGACCATCACACAGGGCTTTCCTGAACTGGTAACAAATTGCAAGGCATGTGCCTGTTACAGAATTTCCTAAAGGTGAAAGAACTTTATATAATCATAGCTTCCAAAATGAAGAAATTGACAGTGAACTGGGTGTGGCTCAGAGGTGGAGTGCTTTCCTAGCATGCAGAAGCTGAATTTCATATCCAGCAATGCAAAAAAAGAAGAAACTCCACTAGCAGTGCTCTATGCTTCTCAGTATCCTTTTGGGGACGCATGCAGTTGTCATTTTGAGCCATTTCTGGCCACATGAAGTGACCAAAGTGCTGGTGGTCACCTTCCCTGCTGATGAATTTAGGTGCTCCCCTTTCTGACTTGTGGGGAGGATAGTGAGATTGTACATATCTAGTCTGTCTCCACAGGTGCAGAATCCACTGATTTTGTGATAACCTGTCAGATGGTGATTTTCTCCTTTCATTTTTCCTTCTGTGCCAAATTTGGTTTTCTGCCTTAAGGAGTAACTTACTCTTCTCCCCACTTATTAGTGTAAACTCAGACATCTCTATTTTATTTGATAGATGATAAGCCTTTATTCTAATTATGATATGCTAGTTGTTCCAGTGGAAGCCCCATCAGATGGGCTCCTGTATTTCTTCCAAATGTCATTCCTTGAGTGCTCCTATATTTCTGTACTTTCTGGCACAAGAGAGTACTCCAGTGTCACCTATCCTGTTCCATCCCCAGAAACAGGTGTCCTGGTTCCTCATGAACAATGGTGTGAGAAACCAAGGTCTGGATGTGGAGGTGTGCTCTTAGCTACTGGGATCTTCACTCCTCAGCTAGGCCTGTGGTTGTGGAGTCTCCTAGGCTGAATGGTAAAGCAGTCTGAAGCCAGAGTCTTAAACATGAAAAGGTCACTGGCCTGGTGGGACTCACTTGTAATTCTAGCCCTCTGAGAGGCCGAGGCAGGAGAATTGTAAGTTTGAGTCCAGGCAGGGCAACTTAATGGCTTAGCAAGACCCTTTCCTTAAAAAAAAAAACCTGGGGCCGGGGATTTAGCTCAGTGGTTTCGCTGCCTGCTGTGCAAGCGCAAGGACCCAAGTTCGATCCCCGGTGGGAAAAAAAAAAAAAAAAGATTGACCTATTAGAAAGGATTTTATAGTAAATAATGTTGAAACAGTTGGTTTGCTGGTGCTGGGGAAAAGGTCTAGTCTCAGATCTTTGCATGCAAAATAGACATTCCAGCTAGGGAAGAGAAGTTCTAAAGAGCCAGAAAGAAAAGTTATTAAAAAAAAAAAATATATATATATATATATATATATATGTGCACATATCTACATACATAAAAGTTTTTAAATCCTATATTAACAAAAGACAATAGCCAGTTGTAGTGGTGCACGTCTAGTCCCAACACTTAGGAGGCTGAGACAGGAGGATCTCAGAGTTCAAGGCCAGCCTGGCCTACAGAGTGAAACCCTGTCTCCAAAAAAAATAAAAAAGAGTAAGTAAGATACATAGCAGTGGGAGAAGATATTATATAGTGTAAAACAGGCAAACGTGTTTAATAGTATTTTCTACAAATTTATAAGGACAATGAACTCAAGAAAAGAGCTTAGACTGGTGATGGCAAACCTCTTAGAGCTTTCAGTGATACAATAGCCCACTGTGGAACTCATGCCGTAGGTTCACCACCACTGGTTTAGACTGAACAGGGAGCCCACAGATAAGGAAGAAGCAAGCATAGCTTAAATACATATATTCCCCCTACTATGTATTAATAGAAGAAAACAAGGTAATAGTCAAACCATTTTTGCTTCAACTGGCAAAAATTTTCACAGTTCCTAATATCCAACATTGGTAAAGATGTAGGGAAATATAGCTGTTGATAGTAAATTAATGAGAAGGTAGCTAAACTGGGGAGTATCCATTTTATAGTATGTAAAATGTTCCAAAGCCTGCTGTTTATTGAGTAATGAAAACAAGTTGTGAAACTGGGCATGGTGCTGCACACTTATAGTCCCAGCATTCGGGAGGCTGAGGCAGGAGAATCGCCCTGAGTTCAAAGCCAACCAGAACTACATAGCAAGACCCTGTCTTAGGAAACAAAAACAAAAAGTTGCAGAATGTACTGACACTGTGACTTCATTTGTAGGACAAGCTTATTTCTGTGTATGAGTGGTTACCTCTTGAGAGGACTGTGGGGAAAAGGCAAACTAGCTTTTTACTTTATATAAAGGTGAATTTTACCTAATTGCATGAGCGTATTTGTATGAAGAAGATTGGCTCTAAGGGCCAGGGTGTAATTTAGTAGTAGAGTGAGGCTAGCATGCTCAGGGACCTGAGTTGCATCCCCAATGCTGCAGGGGAAAAGTGAGAATGATTCTGTACCTGCCTCTCTTAAGGGGGGAGGAGGGCAAGTTTGGGGTAATCGACTTAAAGTTTTCCTAGTAACCAGGGTACAACTGGACAAAAACCAGTGTATATGTTGTGGGATTATAGCAATCTCATCACCTGTGATTATCTGGTAGAAATGCTTCTGGTGCATCTTCCTCCCGTGTTTACAAAGACCAGTGAGTTGAGTTCCAAATGTTTTTTGAAGCTCAGCATTTTTGCCAAAGAAATTATAAAACAAGAATGGGTGACCAGCTGACCAAGGCTGTTTGCACATAATATACTGGTATGATAGTCCTCTGGGTTTGTAAATAAAATAATTTTGAAATATAAATAGAATTAGTATATAGAAAAATCACACAGTATATACTTACTTGTCAGGAGGAAATTTTTTTCCCATTACTGAAAATAGAACCCAGGGCAAGTGCTTTGCCACTGAGCTGCATCCTCCAGCCCATCATGGGATTTGTTTTGTTTTAAACTTTCTTATAGGTAACAATTTCTTTATACAGTATAGGGCTTGTAGATCACTTCTCTGACATGCTTGATGCCGTAGAGCTGGGCCAGAAGTTTTTACATGGGCCAGAAATTTTTACATGGGCCATGAGAATAAGTGAGCATTTTTTACAGGGACACATGATCAGCGACAAAAATTCAATCAAAGCAGCAGGTCAGATAAATTGGAGTTAAAACAAGAATCCCTTTTTGGCCTGGCAAAGATGCAGAAAGATTGGGACTTTAATTCCTTGTGCTAGAACTATGTAAAGTAGAGCAACTTTCATCTGGGCTATCTTGAGGGTATGTGGAAGGTTTTTTGGTCTCCTTTTAAGTTTTAAAAATGGTGCCTTTTTTAAATGAGGGTGCTATTTCTAGAAATATGTCTTAAGATGAAAATTACCTGTTGCAAAAAATCACCACGATATTCTTCTTCATAAGCAGTGTCTTCACTAAGTAGTGCTTAGATCATTGGTGATGTATCTGTGTAATGCTGGTAAAGAATGTAGAAACTGGGATGGGGGTTTAGCTCAGTGGTTCCGCTGCCTGCCTCGAAAGCCCAGGGTCCTGAGTTCGATCCCCAGTACCAAAAGAAAAAAAGAATGTAGAAACCTGGTCACAACACATTAAGCAAAATTTGTATACAACAATAGTGCGTTGACTTCTTTCTATTTTTTCCTTTTCTTTTTGAGACAGAATCTCACTGTGTTGCCCAGGCTGGCCTTGATCTCTTGGGCTCTGCCACAATCCTGCCTTGGCCTCCCATGTAGCCAGGATAACCAGCCCGTGCCCAGTTAGTGCAGTGCCATTTTTGTAAGGAGCACAAGTGTGTCCACAGCCAAGTGCAGAAGTCAGTGTGAATACGTGATAGCCAGAAAGCTAACCCAGCACTAGAGTTCTGAATGATTTTCACTTCCTTTGCTTTGCTTGTTTGCTTTGCTTATTATTGTTTCTGTGGGGAGCATGTTATGTGTACTCTCACCAAAAAGCAGCACCTTGGTATCTGATGCTCCCCTCCCCCCAAAAAAGCCTCTTGACAAGGAGGCCAGGCCTTAAGATCTGGTTGGCCTCCGCCCCTGAGATCCATTTCCAGTACTGCCTGCTCACTCAGCCAGCCGCTAAGAGCAGGTGGAGTGGCTGCTCTTCTTTCTCCTTGAAGCAGGGGTGAGACTCTCCAGCCGTGGGTGCTGCAGTGTTTCTTTCTCATGCCTCCAATGCTTATCTCTTCAGGGCGGAAACCCGAAGAAGAGGGTGTGGAGGATAACGGGCTGGAGGAGAATTCTGGGGATGGACAGGTAAGTGCAGCCCGGCCCGTTGCAGGGGAACTTGGTGGTGGCCAGCAGCAGTCACATACATGATGGGCTCCTTTTGCTTTGTCCCAGGAGGATGTTGAGACCAGTTTGGAGAACTTGCAGGACATCGACATGATGGATATCAGTGTGTTGGATGAAGCAGAAATTGATAATGGAAGCGTTGCTGACTGTGTGGAGGAGGAGGATGCTGACAACCTTCCAGAGTCCCTGTCTGACAGTAGAGAGCTAGTTGAGGGTGAAATGAAAGACCTCCCAGAGCAGCTTCAAGAACATGCTGTAGGTAACTCGGCAGTGTCTGGAATCCACTTTGAGTGTGGCACCCACAAATACTGTGGGAGATGGATATGGTTTATAGTTGGCATGGAAGTTGTCTTTTACTGCCAGCTAACTAGAATAATAGTTAATCCATGTACGTGTAAAATTCAGATGATTCTGAAAACGCACAGGTTGAAAGTGGTCTCACAAAGTACACAGGTGACAGCATGGGATGGTGAGGACCGATGTCCAGACCCTTCCTGCTCTGGGGAGTGGTCTGTGTGGGTGGGGCGTGGATACTTAGAAAATGCTGAGATAGGAAGGGGTTGGGAGTTGATCTTTTGAGATGGGGGCTCACTTTGTTGTCCAGAGTCACTCTCAGGAATCAAGATTCTTCTGGGTCAGCCTCTTAGATAGCTGGGATTGCAGGCAAGTACTGCTGTGCCTGGCTTTGGACGTTTATCTTTCAGTTGCTGTCTTCAGAAGAATCAACCTTTAATACCAACCCTGACATGAATGTTAAAGCCTTAGTCTTTTCCTGTTAGAAACATGTCACCTTATAACAGGCATTGACTTTATGACTTGTAATCCTTTCACATCAGTACCAGATAAAGATACTTTTGTCAGGCCGAGGATTTAGCTCAGTGGTTCTGCTCCCTGCCTCACAAGCGCAAGGTCCCCAGTTCAATCCCCAGTACCCCCCTGCCCCCCACAAAAGATACTGTCGTCCTCATTTTCCAGTTGATGAAATTGTGGAATAGAGAGGAAAAGAGATACTTCTATCCTGTAGTGGAATATAAGTTAAGCCAGGCTGATTCTAGAGTTCATGTGCTTAACTTATATACTGCCCTGCCTGGGTGCCATGCTTCATTTACACTAAGATGGGTGCTGTCAGGTGAGAGAGAAGCTGGGAGTTGTGTCTCTGAGGCCCGAGTGAGGGCCTCACTAAGTGTGGGTCCCCCTGCTCTGGGCCTGCTACGCCTGACACCCACACTCCAATGGTTCCTGCACATCCTCCTGCAGCTGGCTCTCTGCATCTGTAGATGAGCCAGATGTATTCGAGTGGGGAGTTACATTCTGAGCTAACTTCAGCGCTTTTCTCACTTAAATAGGGAATAGATTTCTTTTTTATCTTTGTTTGGATTCTCATTCACTGGAATGAGGAATAGCAGAAACATTTGCATAGTCGGGGGCAGTAGGCATATTTCTAATTAGCTGCTTTTTTCCTTCCTAATTGAGTCAGGGGTTCACTGTGTACCCCAGGCTGGCCTTGATCGTCCTCCCTCAGCCTCCCGAGTGCTGGGATTATAGGTGTACACCAACCGCACCTGGCAATACATTTTATAATAAGAGCTTGGAAACACCTAAGTGTCTGTCAGTAATGGTTAAATATACAAGATTTAATAGAACCAGTGTAGTTTAAAAGTTGAGAGAATTTACTCAAGATCTGCCAGTTGCTGGTACAGCCTTGGCCAAGTTCATTAAGATCTCTAGGCCTCAAATTTTGAAAATAATAGATTTAGTGAGGATCAAACGGATGGGCCTTTATCACACCCTCAGAACAGAAGTCACCAAGCTAGGCATGCACTGTGTAGGTGAAGTTTGAAGCAGCGTCACGTCCTTCTCCATTGTCATTCGCTGCTCTCGCATTTCTCTGTGTAGCAGAGATCAGTAGTTGTGTCTGAGACCCTCCTACAAAGCTTAAAATCCTTACTTTGTGACCCTTAACAGAAGTTTGCTGGCCCCTGACCTAGAGCAGTGCCCAGTATCTAGCAGGCACCATGGAGTTATTGTGAAATTTACTCTGACTAGTAATAATACAGAGCAGATCTGTGGGCCCTAGACTGACCTCCAGGGGTTGGGAACGTCATGCCACCTCCTGCAGTTGGAGAAGGAGGGAGGGCTGTGGTGCACACACACGCACAGCTCCTGGGTGTCAGTTGCTTTCATTCATTCATTCATTCATTCATTCATTCATTCATTTATTTATTTATTTATGGTACTGGGGATTGAACTCAGGACCTTGTGCTTGTGAGGCAGGCAGCAGAACCACTGAGCTAAATCCCTGGCCCAACAGTTGCTTTCAGTGTGTGAGCCTTCATTGTACCATTTGAGGTCTTGATCATGGGCACATCTTTCCCACCCAAGCAAAGGCGATGAAGAAGATACATGTCTCACAACTGTCCCCACTAAACTCAGGCAAACATCATGGACTTTAGGCAGACACCCAGAACAACTCTTGAGGCACAGAGCATCCCTGTCCTGTGCTAGGGGATCCTTGGCTTAAGGGAGTAGAACCCCCACCCCCAGAAGAGACGCACTGTGTGTCCAGTCCCCCTTCCCCTGCAGGCGGAGTGTAGACAGGTCACCTGGGCTCCTGCTCTGGGCTTTGGAAGCTGATGTTGGGAGGCAGGGCTGTCCAAGATGCATCGGGGCCGCGGTCCTGGCATCAGTAGCATCCTGTCTTGGGCATGTAGTGGTCAGAGGCTCCACGTTGCAGAGGGGTTATGGACTGTTTCTGGAAGGACAGCCTCCAAGGGCTCCGCTCCACCCAGAGAGTCTGCATCCTGCCCAGTCTGAGTCTCTAATACAGGCTATTTTCTTTTTCCTTTTCCTTTTTTTGGTATTGGGGTTCAAACTCAGGACCTTGCACTTGTGAGGCAGGTGTGGTACCACTGAGCTAAATCCCTGGCCCCAGGCTGTTCTCTGCTTGGGTTTTCATCTTAAACCCACACTTGTACTGCTTCAGTGGATTTCCTAGTCTGGAAATGGACTTTTGCATGTAATATTTCTTTACTCTCGCTGGAATCTTACAATGATTTTTTTTTTTTTTTTGGTTTGTTTGTTGGTTTTCGTTTGGGGTCTCCCCCCAATAAAGACAGGGTCTCATTAAGTTGGCCATGGTGACCTCAAATTTGGTGATCCTCCTCTCCTGCCTTAGCTTCCCAAATAGCTAGGATCACAGGGATGTGCTCCCACGCCTGGCTCTATAATGCTATTTTAACTCCTGTGCAGTGTTATTTTGTTATATGATCTTCTTGGCTGGTACTTTTCATTGTACAGATGTGAGTTTTGTTGCCTTATTGTTGGTTTATGTGTTCACTATTTGTTTCACAGGTAGATGACAAAGAAACTATAAACAATTTAGATACTTCATCATCTGACTTCACTATATTACAGGTAAATTGTTATATATCTCAATTTTGGAATCAAAGATTAGACCACAGTTTCTGGAAACCACTTCTGACCCTGCATGACAGTCCTGCTAGCCGTCATTGCAAGGTTTGTTCATTGGTCAGGCCCTTCAGGGGCTTGTTCTCTACTCTACCCCAGTGCTGCATCTCAGTTGCCAAGGGCTTATCTCCAGCTTACCTGGCGCTCTCAAAGCAGTGTACTAGTGGACTAAGAGTGTATTTGGTGACACTGGTCACAGGTTGAATATCCCTTACCCTGCATACTTTGGACAAGAAGTATTTTTGGTTTTCAGGTTTTTTTCAGAGTTTGAACTGTTTGCTCACACATAATGAGATGCCTTGGGGATGGGACCCAAGTTTGAATACAGAATTTAAGTTTCACGTATACCTTATGCACGTTAGCCTGAAGATCATTTTATGATGCACTGTTTTTAGTGTGCCTGGGTCTCAACCACAACCTGTTGCAGGAGGTCATCCAAGTCCGTGCTCAGAACTTTTCTGATTTTGGGCCTTTTCAGATGAGGGATGCTTGGCTTGTGACTTTATTACTGGGAGGGGCATCTGGATGGCAACCCCCTGCAGAGTGACTGCCCCTGCCCGGAAAGACATGCAGGACACAAAGGTTGTGTGAGGGGTGGGTCCGGGGGCAGGGGCCACAGCAGGGACAAGTGAATCTCCAGGTTCTGCTCCTGTCTTTAGGGTGCTTTTCTCTGAGAAGCTGCCCAGGTTTCTTTTTCTTTTTCTTTTTTTTTTTTGGTACCGGAAGTCGAACTCAGGGCATCGTACTTGCCAGGCAGGCACTGTGCCACTGAGCTACATCTCCAGCCCTCAGGTTTCTTTTTCATGAGTATCATCACTATCTGTGTAAATACTAAATCTTAGAACAAATCAGAGGAGACCTAACAGGATTTTCATGACCTTGAGTCTTGGGTTTCCTCTTAATATTTTTGCAAGCCTACAGAGATGTAAATTTTAGGGATGTGCTTACCTGGTTGCTGTTTAGCTTTTGAACAGTCTTTTGTTGTGAGAAAATGAAAGTACAGGCAGCCTTTGCCCCTCCTGCCCCTTAATTGTTGCTTATGTTGTTTAATTAGAAGTCATCTTTCAGGGCCGGGGATTTAGCTCAGTGGTTCCGGCGCCTGCCTCGCAAGCGCAAGGTCCTGAGTTCGATCCCTGGTACCAAAAAAAAAAAAAAAGTCATCTTTCAGATGAGCTCTCCATTTGCTCCCATCGAGCAGCGGCAAGGGAGGTGCTGAGAAGCCAGAGCTCCAGCCTCAAGGAAACTGGGTGCAGCCAGCTGGCCCTCAGAGCTGATGTCTCCAGCTGCAAAGTGACGCAGCCATTCCTGATCAGAGAGGAGAGGAGGAGCTGGATCTTGTCACTCTCTAGTGTCTTTCTAGGTCAAAGACGCCCAAGTTAACATGGAAAACATGTGGCCCCTCCCAGAGGCAGATAGGAGTAGATTTGCTTCTCTCTGAAGGGAGTAAAGGGGGGGAATAATTGTTTTGCTGAGATCATTTGCTTCAGTCATAGTCTTTTTTTTTGAGACAAGGTCTCGCTTTTGTAGTTCAGGGTGCCCTCAAACTGATGGCATCCTCTTGGCTCAGCTTCCTGAGTGCTGGTATTACAGGCTTGCACTGCCATGCCCAGCTCAATCATAGTCTTAATCCCAGTGTGAGGTAGGTTATGGGAGGGAGGAGCAGAGTGACAATAAATCAAACCACAAGGAAATGACCCGTTTCCTATGATGCCCCGGAATAGGATAGTTCCCAGTGGAAGGAACAGACTACTCATAGGCATTGTTAATGTGTGGGCTGCTATATCAGCTACCAAGGCACACAAGTGAAAAATGTGTACAAATGTGAAGTACACAGCATTGGGCTTGAGGGGTTAGGAGCACAGATGGAGTCAAGTGGCCTTCAGCCTGTTATCCATGTGCTGTGTGTCCTTGAGAAAGTTACTCAATTACTCTGGGTCACAGTGTCCTCATCCGCAAAAGGTTGGATGGTATGGTAGCACCCCTCTTGGGCTGCCCGATGACGAATACATGTGTACCCAAGGTTCTTAGCTCTGCACCTGGCTGGAGTTCCAGGCAGTGTTCCTTGTGTGCACAGGGCATGTGGGGCCTTTCAGGGGGATCAGCTGGAGTTGAGGTTAAGAGAGCCGGCTGTTGGGGAGACCATTCTTTTTTTTTTTTTTTTTTGGTACCGGGGATCGAACTCGGGTCTTTGCGCTTACGTGGCAGGCGGCGAAACCACTGAGCTAAATCCCCGGCCCCATGGGGAGACCATTCTTAATGAACCGCTGGAGGTGGCCCGAGGAGCCCTCTCATAGCATGGCACTCACGCCAGACGTCTGGTAGGCAGGAGTGAGCTGCAAGGGCTGGGAGACAGGGCTTCTTGGGACCACCTGGGTGATAGGTGGACCTGGCCCAGCAGGCACATGATCGGAACAGGGTGGAGGTGAACAGGGGAGCATTCCAGGGCCTTAGCTGCCCTGTGGTAGGCCTGGTGCCATGAGGTAAAGTAGGAACGGGCATGAAACCACCTGTGCCTGCTGTCCCCAGTGCTTGGAATTTTTGGAGTTGGCGCTAGGTTAGCAGAGACAGGGTGATTGCCGGAAGGTGGTAGGCATTCAGTGAGGCACTCAGCAGAATGGTGACGGCACTGCCGGCCCAGCTTGAAAGTTCATCTAGAATGACAGGTGGGCAGGGGACTGCCCCTCCCTGTGACAGCCAAGACCTTTCCAGGCTTTGCAAGAGCCACACGAGGGGAGCCAGGTCCCCTTGAGAGGAGACCGGCATGTGGGGCCGGGGCCATGGGTCCTGCACCTGTTCACGGGGTGAGCTTCCAGTCTTGTAAAGTCGCCCTTCTTGCATGGGAGAGCCACAGTTGTGATGAAGCCAAGGTTTCCTCTGCCTGGCACAGTCTTACTTCTGTCTTTTGTTGCAGGAGATTGAAGAGCCATCTCTGGAGCCAGGTACTGTTCAATGAAAAACTTACCAGCGGGGGTTTGGAACCGTCCTAGTTTTCCACCTTCTCTAATTTAAAGTCTTTAATTTAAAAAAGTTACCGTACTATAGTGTACGTTGTTCTAAAGGTTTACAATCCAGAACATAACCAGGATCATAGAGATTGGAAACCCAGCCATATCACCAGATCTGTGAAAGTGGCGAACCTCTCATTTTATAAAATACATTGGTGAAATGAAACAGGCTCAGGCCTTTTTAAACAGAAATGCATTTAAACAGAGTGGAAAGAGTGGGCACGCTCTCCAGAACTCCGGCCCTGCACCCCACGAAACAGATCTTGTGATATCGGGCAGTACCTTGACTGTGTGGTGTTTGGTGTAGGCAGTGCAGGCAGTGGTAGGGAGACCACGAAACCTTCGGACATGATGGATTCCAGAAGAGCAAAGAGCTGCTTCATGAGAACACCTCGTAAACATGTTCCCTTCTGGACTGCAAATGTCTCAGCATCCACAGAAGAGTCTGGTATTCATGTTGGACTGTCTGTTAAACGAAATTCAAAGAAATTTGGAAATTGAGCTGTTCAGTGAATGGTGATACAGTCATTCAGTTAAGCAACCCGGACTTCAGAAGCTAAATTTGGAAGAGTCATGTGTACACAGCAACAGAATGAAGATTCTCAAGAATCAGCCAGAAGGTTTTGGGGGTTAAATCTCTGGGATGCTTTTTTCTCCCCTGTAGCTAGAGGCTGGCGTAGCAGTGGTCGGAGCGCAGGTAGTGTACAGTGTAACTGTGTGTACCCGCGGGTTTTCCAATCTCTGTGTAGCTAGCGGTGCTCTTCGTGTTAGTGTGGCAGCCGTGCCAGTTCCACATTTGTGATTGCTTTATTTCCCTGGTAATTAAACCTTGTGCCATTCTATTCCTGTTAAATCCGTAGAAAATGAGAAAATACTCGACATTTTGGGGGAAACTTGTAAATCTGAGCCAGTAAAAGAAGAAGGTTCCGAGCTGGAGCAGCCATTTGCACAGGATACAAGTAGCGTGGGGCCAGACAGGAAGCTGGCGGAGGAAGAGGACCTTTTTGGCAGCGCCCACCCGGAAGAGGAAGAGGAGGAAGAGCAGGAGGAAGAGGAAGAAGAGGAGGAGGAGGAGGGAGATTTAGATTTGGCCAGCGAGTCAACGCGCGCTCAGTGGAGCGAGGCAGACACCCTGTTAGCGGTAGTGAAAAGGGAGCCCGTGGAGCAGACAGGCGAAGGCGCGAGGACGGACTGTGAGCCTGTAGGGCTAGAGAAGCCAGTTGAGCAGAGTAGCGCGGCCTCCGAGCTGCCGGAGGCCTCTAGCCAGGAGCTGGCAGAAGCGCCCACGGAAGCCCCGAGCCCGGAGCCCCGAGATAGCAAGGAAGACGTGAAGAAGTTTGAGTTTGACGCTTGTAATGAAGTCCCTCCGGCTCCTAAAGAGTCCTCAACCAGTGAGGGCGCTGATCAGAAAATGAGGTTTGTTGTTTCTCAGTTTTAGACCAGACGCTATCTCCTTTTCATTGGTCATTTATGACACACATAAGCTGTTTTTCTGCAATTGGCCAGCCAGACTGCTGAAATTGTAGTTTTACTTTCAAACAATGTTTTATTTCTCTTTGTTTATTTTAGACTGATTACGTGATCTTTTTTCTTTTCTCAACCTATCATGGTTGTTTTCTTTAATTCTGTCTAATTATCTTTAGCCCAGCAGAATTAATTAACTCCTGTGGGTCTGAAATCTTATGGTTAGGTCAGATTTCCAATACACGTTTGTCGGGGTATCATTTTTTCAGAGCTAAATTTCGGGTAGGTATGCAACCTCAGCACGTATTTTATAATTTTGAGTTTGTTTCTCGATATTGCTGCCCCTGGAGTGACACTATCTTTTGTCTTTAGTTCTGTCGAAGATGACTCGGACTCTAAAAGGCTTTCCCGAGAGGAGAAGGGTAGGTCACCCGACAGCCCCAGTCCCTTGGAGTATGTTGGGTTGAGGCGGCACCCGAATATTGAATACTAGTTCCCCACATCTGGCATTTCCCACCTAGGTCTACCTGAGTCTTTCAGAAAGTCTTTCCCATTCTCCACTGTTGGCTCCACAGCTCCTGGATTGTAGCAGCAGACTACTTCCTAAGGGCTGATGCTGTGCCCTGATGCAGACCCTGGCTTTTTCTAGAGTGTTCTTAGTTCTTAGTTCCTTGATCCTCTAGCCCTCTAATATAAGTAATTATATTAGATCCAGGTCATACTGGACTCTTTCTAAAAAGGCTGTAAGTACGGAATAGAAACAACTAGAAATGACAGGAACATCTTCACGCTGGCGTTGGCTACTTCATGTTAAAGAGCCACCTTTAGCTGAGACTCACTCAGTGGTGAGCAGTTGCTTAACGTGTGAGGCCCTGGGTTCAACCTCCAGCCACACCCCGCACACATGCAGAAGAAAAAGCCACCTCAGTGTGTGGCCCAGCCAGCCACTAGGTCACTTTTTAAGGAGGCCTCATGCAGTGTCCCCAGCTGGGCTCCCCATTGAAGTGAGTGTTTCAGGCCACGCTGTCAGGCAGTGGACAGGGAGCACAGCAGGCCCAGCCACCAATCCAGCTGGCTTTGGGTGCTGCTGCCGTCTGGGAGCAAGGAGGGACTGTATTGTGGTTTGGAACAGCTTAGGAACTCGGGACCTTGTGGGTGTTGTGCTTTTGATCAGAACTTTCTTTTGAAATAGGTCGTAGCAGTTGTAGTAGAAATTTCTGGGTTAGTGGACTTTCTTCTACGACCAGAGCTACAGATTTGAAGACTCTTTTCAGCAAGTATGGGAAGGTAAGAGCCAGGGCCCCTTGGAACAGGAGGGATCACTACATACACCCTGTTGTGCAGCCTGCCCTTGGCACGCGATCACTGAGCCTTGGGCAATGCTCAGTGGCCTTGGGGCTTCCTCTGGTGTTGCTGTGCTCCACTCAGCCACGCCCTGGCCCACAGATGCCGCTCCGCCACCCCTTCACACATACATACACCTGCCGGCCACCAGGAGCAGGAGTGCAGCCTATGGGAGACAGTAGTGATTGGGGAAATGCCACGTGATGCTGAATTGTAGCACTCCAGAGCAGAGGCCAAGGTGGCCCTGCCTGTGGATGTGTCACAGCCCTTCTCCGAACCCCACCTCTAGCTGGTGACGTGTGGAGTGGCTGCTTCTGTGGCCGAGTAGAGGCAGATCGGACCCCTGCTGCACCTGTGCACCTGCCGTCCCCTGTGGGTTGAGGCTTCTGTTGGGAGTTCTCTTCCTCACTTTCTCACACTCTCACCTCAGTCCATTGTGCTTCCTGGTCTCACTTAGGCATTCTGGACTCCTCGTCTCTCAGGGCAGTTTCAGGGGAGCAGAAGTGAACTTTAGCACAGACGCTTAGCCCTACTGAGGGGTTGGTGTGTCAGAGAGAGCACCAGTACTACGCACGCTGATTATTTATGTGGAAGGGCTGACAGGAGGAAAATAGCTGGGCAAAGTGCTGCATGCCTGTCTTCCCAACTACGCTGGGGCAGAGGCAGGAGGATTGCAAGTTCAAGACCAATGTGGGCAACTCAGACTGTAAGAATGAGGGGTTGAGGTGTAGTTCAGTACAAAGGCCTTGAGTTCAGTCTATCGGAGTGCGCGCGCACACACAGCCCCCAGTGTAGCGTGGTTATAAAGACAGGTACCAGCTACCCAGAGGAGGACAGGGCTAGGTGCACTGCTCCCCATACACTCACAGTGGTCCCTGGGAGGGCAGTGCCGTCAGAGGAAAGGGTCTAGTTGGCGCCTACTGAGCCTGGAGTGCATCACAGCCTTCCATGGGCCTAAGATTCCATGTGGAATCCTGAATGTGGTTGCTGGCAGTGGCCTCTGACACCCATGGGACTGTTCTGAGCCATGGTATCTTGCCATGAAAGGCAGGTGTCACTTGAGCCTGCCAGAGCTGTTGAGAGAACCAGTCCGCACGTGAGAACATGGCCATAGTGTCTGAAACAGCCCTGAATCATGTTGCGAGTGGTCGGGAGCCTGACATGTGGGATGTGGCTCTCTGGGGTGCTTTGGGTTGCACACTGCTCACTCGTATAGCACAGCTGGGTGTCATGTTTCCTACCTGTACAGCACATGACAGAAGGGGCAGAACTTGGTGTTGTCTCGCTTTCCTTCTGCCCCTCAGTCCCCTGGGGGAACCTAGAGGAGGGGCTGAAGAGGGAGGAGCAACAATGAGACTACTGTTTGCTCTCCCAGGCCACTTGTGGCACTGGTCAGGCACTTGGGGATGTGGTGTCCCACTAGCCCCCGTCCCGGGCCGGCACACTGCCTGGGCCTTCTCCCATACCTGTGATGCCCTGTCCCAGGGGTAATGGCTCCGAAGCCCTTTCTGCACCTCAAGTTTAGTAGTTTGTGCCTCTCCTTCAGGTGGTGGGCGCCAAGGTTGTGACAAATGCCCGGAGTCCTGGAGCTCGCTGTTACGGCTTTGTCACCATGTCCACAGCCGAAGAAGCAACGAAATGCATCAACCACCTGCACAAGACGGAGCTGCATGGAAAGATGATCTCTGTGGAAAAAGTGGGTGTCAGGGCTCCCTTGGGTACAGCTGGGTGGGGACGGGCGGTGGCACTTGCACTGGACTCTCTCCTTTAGGCGAAAAATGAACCAGCCAGCAAGAAAACCTCTGAAAAGAGGGACAGCGAGGGCAAGAAGGAGAAGTCAAGCACTAGTGACAGGTACTTCTTTCCCGGTGAGAGGCCTTTGTCACCTGTGTGCGAGCTGGGAGGCTGTTGGTTTCCTTTCCTTTGGTTGGAAGGCTGTGCCCCTGGTAGTGGGAGGTGATTTCCTTACTCTGTCACTTGGCGCTCATACTGAGGGTCTAGACGGGACTGGTCCAAATCCCTGCTGTGACACTCTTGGGGATCCATGGCTGTCACAGATCCGCGAACCTCAAGAGGGACGATAAATCTGACAGAAAAGACGACAGCAAAAAGGGTGAAGATGCAAGTGGAGAAAAGAGTAAAGACCCGGATGAGAAGCTGGGCTCCTCGGAGCGATCTCGAGCCACAAAGTCAGGTAGCCGGGCATCCCCCGCACAGGAGGTCTTGTCTTGTTTCCTGTCCCCAGCCAGCGCGGTGTGTTAATTTGTTCTCATCAGGTGACAACACAAAACCAGTTCCTTTGCGCAACATTGGGAGTGCGTTCTCATCCCGGGCCTGTTTCACTTTTTTTCTTCCTGTAGGAAGTCGAGGCACTGAGCGGATTGTGGTGATGGACAAATCGAAGGGTGTGCCTGTTATCAGTGTGAAGACATCTGGATCCAAAGAGAGAGTGAGTGTTGTTTCCTAATTAAGGTGTTGAGTGTATTTTATGGGGTTTTTGTGTATCTTTAAGGGATCCTTAAGCTGAATTAGAGAAAAGCTCTCACCTTTTACAAAAATATACATATCTTAAACTTTAAAAAAAGAAAGAAACAAGATGTGCTGATACATGCCTCATGTCCCAGCTACTCAGGAGGCTGAGGCAGGAGGATCGCTTAAGCCCAGGAGTTCAAGACCATCCAGACTCTCTTAAAGGGGTTGGGGGCAAGGATGCATATATATGAACAAAGAATCCAGGCACAATAGTACACAGTACACAGTAGTACAGGGGGATCCCAAGTAGTATCAAAAGTCCTGTCCCAGCCTTGAGCAAAACAATTTAAAAGGACTGGGGATGGAGCTCAATGCAGAAGCCCCTGGGTTTGATTTCTAGTAACATCAAAAGAGAAATTGTAAAGCTTTTCTTTGTATTTGATTTTGTGGTAATGTCAGTTGGTGCTATTTCTTTACTTTCTAAAGCTAACTTTCAAGGACAAATGAGAGCAGCTGCTTGCTGCGATCTCCACAGCTCTTTCCTTGTGCAATACAAGCTGCCCACACAGCCACCTGTGCCGGCCCACCCCATCTCCACACAGCTGCTTGGAGCCTCTGCCTCCCTCTCACATTTTGACAGCCTCTCTGCCTTGATCAGGCGTGTCCCAGACCACCCCACACTCAGCGAATCACTGGGGGTCCAGTAGACGTCAGGTGGAGGAGCACTAGGGCTGGGGATACTGCTGGCTGCCTTGTGACTGCCACTCCATACAGCAGTGCCAGTGGGCACAGCAGCACAGGGGGCTTGAGAAGCCTGTCGAGCTTCAGCACCCAGGCCTCTCTACTCAAGAAGAAAGCAGGTGTTCAGCCTAAATGACCACTCACACTTGCAGGGAGTCACCTGTTTGTCACCCTTATAGCTAGCTGTCACCTGAGACACTGAGCCCAGCACTGCCTTGCTCACAGCCTGAGGCTGCCAGGCCTCCTGCATGTGGCTCACAGCAGTGCAAACCCACTTTTCTGTCAGGCGTGCTGTCAGGTGCATTCAGTGTGTGTGCCGATACATTACTGCATTGGAGCCTTTTCCCTTATTTTGTAGTGCAAAAATATGAATTCTGCGGCCGGGGATGTAGGTCAGTGGCACAGGGCCTGCCTGGCAAAGTGCAAGGTCCTGAGTTCGATCCCTGGTACCAAAAAAAAAAAAAAAGAGCGAAAAATATGAATTCTAGGGCTGGAATGGGGAGCTCTCATAAAAATGTAGTCACTGGTGAGAAATTGTTAAACATGACAAGTGGCTACATTTGAGAATCTGTTGAATACTACGAAGGAAAGAACAAAATTAAGGAATGTATTTTGGATGGCAAAGACAAAGCATAAAAGTAAATTGATCTTATGAAAAGTTTTTAGGGGAAATACTCATTTCCATTTTGATCCTGTTGACATACTTGATCCTATTTTATTCTTGTTTATTTTTATTTATTTGGTTTGGTACCGGGGATTGAACTAGGGACCTTGGCGCTTTTGAGGCAGACACCAGAACAACTGAACTAAATCCCTAGCCCCTTATTTGATCCTATTTTAGCCTTAAAGGTCAATGGACATCTGTGACTTTCAGCTGTGAAACATGAGGCTTGTTGGTTGGTTTGTTTATGGTACTGAGCATTGAACATAGGTCCTTCTCACTGAGCTACATCCACAGCCCGCGTTTTATTTCTTGAGACAGGGTCTGGCTGATTTGTCGAGGCTTGGCTCACATTTGTGATACCCCTGACTCAGCCTCTTAGAGTGCTGAGATTACAGGGATGCACACCACACTGGGATACGTGGTTTCTCCAGAGAGAGAACACTTCATTGTCCAGTTGTTTCATTAACCATCCTGTAGGGCTGGGGATTTAGCCCAGCAGCCCCACGCCTGCTTTGCAAGCCAAGGTCCTGAGTTCGATCCCCAGTACCAAAAAGAAAAATTAATCATCCTGTAAACCAGGTGTGTTGGCACACATCTGTAATCTCAGCACTCTAGAAGGCTGAGGCAGGAAAGTTGCCAATTTAGCAATTTAGTAAAACTGTCTCAGCAGAAAAAAACTTAAAAAAAAAAAAAAGGTGTGAACTGTAGCTCAGTGCAGAGGCCCTGGGTTCAGTCGTCAGTGCCACACAAGCACACAGGAAGATTGATCATCTTGTGGGACCTCACATTCGATGCTAAGATGGACATGCCTGTTCTGTTCACTGTCATTTCCACTTGAACTTTTCTGTGTTCTTTGATGAACTAGGCCTCCAAAAGCCAGGATCGCAAATCAGCCAGCAGAGAGAAGCGGTCCGTTGTATCCTTTGATAAGGTCAAAGAGCCTCGGAAGTCAAGAGACTCGGAGTCCCGTAGGTGAGTCGGGATCCCGAAACACTCACTGCTTTGGTTGTGTCCCTAGACTGGTTGTCGCTGTGTCCTGTGAGGGCTCAGTCCCTGTGGGTCGAGCGTCCCCTTAGCCTCGTGGTCCTTTGGCTCTCGCCTCACAGGCCTGTTGTGTTTGGCCTTCATCCCTGGGTCTTTGCAGGTGATGTCATTTAGATGGGCCCTTCTCTCCCCTCAGATTATCAGGGTAGCAGAGGCGGGAGGCGGGGTTTCTTCCTGGTGCAGCAGAGGAAGCCAGCACACAGTACCAAGGTGCTGGGCAGAGGGGAGCAGAAGCAGCCAGCCCCAAAGAGCACCCCGAGTCCTCCTGTAAATAAGCCAAAAAGCATGTCATAATTGTGAAAAACTGAACAATTATTGGTCACTTTAGGCCTCAGTTAATCTTTCCTATCCAGAAGCAATTTGTTTTTCTTTTCTTTTTATGAGACAGGGTCTCACTGTGAAGTCTAGGCTGGCCTTGCACTCACTAAATAGCCCAAGCTGGCCTTGAATTCAAGCAATCCTCCTGCCTCGCCCTCCAGAGTGCTGGGATTACAGCTGTGTGTCACCACACCTGGCTTCAGGAGCAGTTTTTAAAGCATATTTTAAAAAAATAAGAATTAGTAGTTTAAAAAATTAAAAGGCCAGGGATGTAGCTCAGTGGTGCCAAGCCTGCCTGGTAAGCACAAGGTCCTGAGTTCCATTTCCAGTACCAGGAAAGAAGAAAAAGAATTAAAAGCTAGCAGATTAAGAGTGGGAAAGAGGACGCTGGAGCAGGAGAGTCTCTGATAACCCCACACGGGACTGGTGGCTATAGAGGAAGGAGCAGCAGCAGCTTGCTTTGGCTTTGAGGTTAGCAGCACGGGGCCGTCATGGCATTTCCCACCAGTGGAGAAAGGAGACTCCAGGGACAGCTCAGCCCCATTCTTGTGGGCCAGGCCTCACTTGCATTGTTAGCAGACAGCATGCACCGATGACTGAACAGAAAATAAAGCCGTCAAAAAGCCAGGCATAAATAGAAATTCCATTTGACCTTGCTATAGATCTTCCCAAAAGAGAAAGAAAATCAGCGTATTACAGGGACACATGGAAACCAGTGTTTATAGCAGCACAATTTATAATAGCTAGATCTTGGAAACAGCGTATGTGCCCATCAACAGATGAACAGGTAAGGAAAATGTATACCCAGTGGAGTACTGCTCTGCCATAAAAATAAACTGGTGGCGTTGGTAGGTAAATGGATACTTGAGGCGATAGAAGTCAAAATAAGGGGCTGGGGATTTAGGTCAGTGCTTCTGCCGCCTGCTTCGCAAGCGCAAGGACCTGAGTTCGATCCCCAGTACCAAAAAAAAAAAGTCAAAATAAGCCTAAATATCGCATGGTTTCTCTTATATGAGAAACTGTGTGTGTGTCTGTGTGTGTGTGTGTGTGTGTGTATAAATAAAGAACAAAATAGAAGATACAGAAGTAGTGAGAAGTTGGAATAACTCCCCAAATTGCCTGTCTGTGGTAATTTGATTCATTTATACTATTAGTAATCTCCTAGTTCTTTGAAAAGAAAATTTTGTGCTATCATGTTGATTTCTTTGTAAGTTTTTAAAAATCTGTTTTATACTTTGAGTAACTGCTTTTAACATGACCCATAGTATATTAAGTATGGTTACCTCCTTAAAAGAGGGCGGGTAGGTGTGGTGTGGGGGTGCACTCCTGTCATCCCGGCACTCTAGGAAGCTGAGGAAGGAGGATCACAAGCTCCAGCCCAACCTGGGTGACTTGGTGACTTAGGGAGACCCTGTCTCAAAATTTAAAAAAGAGCCTGAAGATGTAGCTCAGTGTGAAGCCTCTGGATTCCATCCTCATTACCACAAGAAAAAGATCATCATGGGCCAGGGATTTAGCTCAGTTCCGCTGCATGCCTCGCAAGCACAAGGTCCCGAGTTCGATCCCTGGTACCAAAAAACAACAACAAAAAAAGATCACACTAGTTGTCCAGCATGAAAGTAAAAGTTTATGGAATGGTTTAGAAACCCTTAAAAGTTATAAAGAAGTTTACCGTTCTGTGCCATGAAAAACCATAAAGTCAGAGACATGGCAGGTGGGAAGACCGTGACTTGAGGTAATAAACAGATAGAAATGCACAGCCCAGTGGAGAAATGGACAGGTCATGGCAGAGGAGCCACAGGCCGGGGCTCGGATACAGACTTGTCCGCCTCTGTGGCCTGGGAGAGGCCCCTACGCCTGGAGGGACAGAGCTGTGTGGAGACTTGCAGGTTCCTCTCCGAGCACTGCTTCTTGGAGCGGTGTAGGAGGGTGAAGACTGCTTCGCCTGGACTGAACCGAGCTGGCCGCGGCATTCTTAAGACAAACGAAATGAGAGAGTGAGAGTGCTTCTGCTGGCATAGCTGCACCTGGGGACACGGCCAGAGACAAAGCGGTGGCCACCTGCTGCGCCTCCTGTGGCGGAGGAAAGGCGCCCGCGTCCTGCACATAGTAAAGGTGCCCAGCCCTGCCTGTGTTCCACAGCATCTCACTGAGCCTGGTGCTTTAAAGGGCAGGCGTCCCTTGCAGACTGTGTGAAGTAAGGCCCGGTTTCTCTGTTAGTATCTGGTGTCTGGAGACATGAGGCTCAGTTCACACAGAGGCCCCTGCACCTGCACCTCTGCTTCCGCAGCTCCTCCGGCCTCTAGCGTGACCCTGCTGGGGTGAGGTGCGCCTGACCCCAGTGTGCTGTCTCTCCAGGGAGCGGGAGCGCAGTGAGCGGGAGCAGCGCCTGCAGGCACAGTGGGAGCGTGAGGAGCGGGAACGGCTGGAGATTGCCCGCGAGCGGCTGGCCTTCCACCGGCACCGGCTGGAGCGCGAGCGCATGGAGCGGGAGCGGCTGGAGCGCGAGCGCATGCACGTGGAGCAGGAGCGCAGGCGTGAGCAGGAGCGCATCCACCGCGAGCGCGAAGAGCTGCGGCGCCAGCAGGAGCTGCGCTATGAGCAGGAGCGGCGGCCGGCTGTGCGGCGGCCCTACGACCTGGACAGCCGGTGAGCTCGGCCTGGCCGCCAGCCCGCACCATGTTAGCGTGTGGTCTCCTTACCAGGACAAGCCAGCACGTGCTGCTGCAGGTGGGAGCTTAGGTCCCATCTAAGCGCAGGCTCTGGGGGCGCTCAGGTGTCCAGCGCAGCAGGTGACGACACTGGGGTGGCCTCTCCCTGGACCGTCTCCCTGCCGTGGAGCCCTGGGCCTCCACAGACTCTGGGTGCTGGGGTCCCCACTCTGACTGACGTGAGAGACAACACAACTTGTGCCCGTCAGCTCTTGGTGGAAGAGATGATGTCCCTGAGAGCATGCCAGAAGGTGGCAGGTGTCCCACTGTGTGACTGAGCCTGCTCACTGATGCTCCCTGCCTGGGAGCCTGGTTGCTTCAGACCCAACAGTCGTGCAGCCTGAGCTCAGAATGGCTACCTTGCCCCGAGACAGGGTGGGGGCCAGGTTCACCAGCCCCCCAGAGGCAGGCTGGGAGGAAACACCTGTCCTGTCCCTTCCAGGAGGGACGATGCCTACTGGCCAGAGGCCAAGCGGGCCGCTCTGGACGAGCGCTACCACTCGGACTTCAGCCGCCAGGACCGCTTCCATGACTTTGACCACAGGGACCGGGGCCGCTACCCCAACCACTCTGTGGACAGGTTAGTCGTTTGTCCTCGAAGCTCCAGAGCCCCTGGGGCCAGCTGGTGCGTGCTGCAGAGAGTCACCGCGTGTGGCCTCTTCCTCACCTCACGTATGATTTTAACCCCTTTTTCAGGAGAGAAGGTTCAAGGTCAATGATGGGAGAACGAGAAGGGCAGGTGAGTCTGGGGTGACGTGTGGCTAGCTCCCGCCTGGTCTCGGCCGCCAGAGCAGACAGTGGTGCCAAGGCTCCCTGTGCACCGTGCTGTCTGCACCTGGGTGGCTGTTGGGGACATTCCGGGCACTGAGACTGGCCCTGTGTGGTTTAGCTGAGGTTGTGCTTATGCTCGACCCTATGTACGCATTTCCTCAGCAGAGGACCAGGCCAAGCGGCTGGTGGTAGCAGCTGGCTTCAGGGAAGGCAGGCACTGAAGAGCGAGTTATCAGGAGCCTCAGGGTCTCTTGACTGCTCATGGAGTAGGTTGCTTGGATAGGAAAACTTTGGTAAAATTTTAAATTGTTGCAAGTCCTAGTCCTAACTTCTGCTAGGTGTTTCTGCCCAGTTTTCTGCCTTAAAATTGAAGGTCGTTGACAACAGTGCGGTCTCTTCCTCCTGATTGTCTGTCTCTAAAATTGAGTTGGGCTGGGTGTGTGACGTCAGCGTGCCACGAGGACTGTCCCGGGGTGCTGTGGATCTGCGCCGCCCCCTTTCCCTCTGGCCCAGGGCTTGCACACCGCTAGGGGAGCCTTGAGCTTGGCGGTGGCTCCTCACCACCTGGGTGTCCCAGGCAACTCTGGCCTCCTTTGCTGCAGAGGCAGAGATTTGCAGCAAGTAGAGTATTGGCGGGCGGGCACGAGATTGTGAGCCTGGCCTTCGTAGCACAGCAGGTGAGAGGACGCCCCTAACCGTACACACTCGGCCCGTGAACGCCCTCCTGAGTGTTGTCTGTCGTCCGTGCCCCTCGGCACAGCTGGTCACGTGTCAGGCGAGGTCCCTGCGGTGCGAATTCTCCGCCTCGGGACCAGAGGACCTCAGCCAGGAGCTCTGGGTCCCTTTGCTCACCAGCTTGAGCTTGGCCAGATTTCAGGCCCTTGCATGCCACCAGCGCTTGTGTCTGGGTTATTGTCCTTGTTATCAGTAATGTGTGGCCCGAAAGGCTGCTGAGGCTCCTCCTCATGTGGCTCTCTAATGCCCAGCATTACCCCGAGCGCCATGGAGGACCAGAGCGCCACAGCCGGGACTCACGCGACAGCTGGGGCTATGGCTCGGACAAGAGGATGAGCGAAGGTCGGGGGCTGCCCCCTCCCCCCAGGTTTGTGTCCCTCAGCCCCTCAGACAGGGCCCAGCTCGAGGTGGTTCCTGAGCCGCATCGGGCAAGACCATTCCTGCTCCCCAGGGTACTCGGGGAGGACACAGGGTAGGGACAGGGTGCCGAGTCCACGCTCCAGACGCCCCCGTCCCCCACGTGTGTCCGGCGGACCCTGGAGTCAGACCACTCCAGATCAGAGATGTCTTTCTCCAAGGGACAGGCGAGACTGGGGGGAACATGGCCGAAGACTAGAGGACGACCGGGCATGGCAGGGCGCTGCCGACGGGGGCATGATAGACCGGGACCACAAGAGGTGGCAGGGTAAGGAAGGGGTCACTGCCCAGGCACCACCTGTCTAGGGCGAGAGCCACGGGGAGGGAGGTTGCTGCTGTGCAGTTTTGCCAGCGGCCGCTCAGGCCTTCACTGGCCACCCAAGCGGTGTGGACAGACACTCTGGAGGTCCCGGTGGTGGGGGCACTGCACCGCACGCTGAGGTGGCAGTGGCAGTTGTGAGTCCTGAGGGAGCAGAGGGACTGTGCCCCAGTGAGTGCGCCTTGTCTCTCTCGAAGGTGGAGAGAGGAGTATGTCCGGCCACTCGGGGCCTGGCCACATGATGAACCGGGGCGGCATGTCAGGGTAAGGCAGTGGTGGCCCCGGCTGCCCTGGAGGTCGGGAGGTGGGTCCCCCTTGGGGACCTGGGGGGCAGAGCTGGACAGACAGGCTGCTCGTATGTGTTCCTAGGCGCGGCAGCTTTGCTCCGGGTGGGGCGTCCCGGGGCCACGTGATCCCCCGTGGAGGGATGCAGGGCGGCTTCCGGGGACAGAGCCGGGGGAGCAGACCCAGCGACACCCGCTTCACTCGCCGCTACTGAGTTCTTCGAATCCTGTGTCCTGTCCTGTGACCACAGTATGTTCTGTTAGGAGTTCTCTAAACCGTGTACAAATAATTTTTTTTATCTGCTGCCATATTGTAGCTCAATACAATGTGAATGTTTGTTTTTGTTTTTTTGTAATAAAGGTGTTTCCGTTCACATACCCTAAAGTGCCATTTCGTTTCCACCAGCGAAAGGTGCTTAGCTAAGGATTGGGAGCCCTGGCTGTGAGCGGCGACCGTGCGGTCACGGGCAGCCACAGTGCCATGCATGGCCAGCTGTGACTCAGGGCTGCCTGGCTCCCCCCACTCTGTCTCTACAGCCCCAGGCCACTCTAGGCGCCTGGGGTGCGGGGGGGTCGCCCCACAAGTATGCGTCCTCCCACAGTGAGTCAGGCCTGTGGGTCACCGCACAGGCCTAGGAGCAGCGGCTGCTCTGGGGGTCAGGCTGTCTGCAGGCCACCGAGCACAGGGCGGGCAGTGCTGGAGAGGTCTAGGGGGTGTCCTTGTCATGACCAGCCACACCTGGCTGTCCCACCGAGTGTGGCCTTGCAGGGACACGCCTGGCACCTCCCTTGAGGCTTTGTTGCATTTGCACCTTCTCATGCCAGTCCCATTGCGTGGGCTGCGTGGCTCTTCGGTGAGACCCATGTGTGGGTCAGACCACCACTGGGGCCTGGGGTACACTCAGTGGGGAGTGGTGCCCAGCGGGACCCTGGGGACCAGGGCATCAGGCTGTGCGTGGCAGTTTTTTGCTGAGATTTAAGAGGTTTTACTGAAGTGCAACGCACTGTACTGGTGCCGTCATGTCCTTTCCTATGGACACAGTCACTTCCTCTTGGGAGGCTGTGCTCCCTCAGCCTGCTGCCCCAGTTGTGATCACTTCAGGTCTTCAGTTTGCGTTGGGGGACAGCAGCGTGACTCCCCATGCAGTGCAGTGTTGTCAGGTGTGTGCTGGCCCCTGCCAGCCCCAGAAGCCCAGCAGCACCATGAGCACCTGCCCTTCCCCTGCACCCTGCCCTGACAGGCCACTCGGCTCCCCTTGGGACAGGAAGGAAGTCACCAGAGAGGATCAGCTGACAGCAGACTCTCCTGGGTCTAAGGAGATGGCAGAGTGGTACATGTCCAGGGACAGGAGTTTGAGGGGAACAACTGGGACTCCAGGCGCCAGCAAGGCTGGAGTGAGTGTTCAGAAGAACTGGAAACCACGTGGTGACCCAGCCACCACCTCTGTTGCCCTCCTTACCTTAGTTCAAATGCACAGCAGTACATCTGCCTTAAATTTTGTTTTGTGTGACACTGGGGATTGAACCCTGGGCCTTCACACTGAGCTACAACTTAGCCCTTTTTAGTTTTTGAGAAAGGGTCTCACTAAGTCGCTAAATTGCTCAAGATGAGCTCGAACTTGTGACCCTCCTGCCTCAGCCTCCTAGAGTGCTGGGATGTCAGGCGTGCACCACCAGCCCAGCTAGGATAATTTTTATTTTTGTCAAACACAAAAATGTCAGTACCCACAGCAGGTGCGTGGGCTGAGCATGTTCCTGCAGACTCCGTATCGAGTGCTTTTCTTCAGTCGTATGCCAGGCTCCGCCCCTGCTCAGCGGCCTTATTCCCCCCAGGTGTTAGCAGTCAGGCTTCACAGATGGGGAAATTGAGTGCAGACTGGACTTGCTTCAGGTGGGAGCACTCGGTGCCCAAAGCAGTGACTCCTGCTTGTCCCATCACCAGGGTCGCACACCAGGCTGGGAGAGTTGGAGGGGAACAACTTAGTGAGACGCCGTCTCCCACTTTCAGCAGGGAGCGCGTGCCCAGCACAGTTCCATCTCCAGCACTGGAAAATACAGTATGACTGAGGGCTGCTGGGCCATCACCTGCTCCTCTCCAACCTAGTTCAAGCTGGCTCAGCCCCTGCCCCCACACAGCAGGAACCCAGGCTGCTGCCCTCCCCTCCGGCACCAGGACGGGCAGGCCCGGAGCATGCCACCTTCCACCTCAGCCAGGACCAGAGCCCCTGTGCCCAGGAGCCCTGGCCAGCGTCTCCGAGGTCCTGTGTTTAGGCTGCAGCCACCATCCCTTCCTGCCACCCCTACTTCTGCGAAGTAGCAGCAGAGAGCCCTTGACAGTTGTGTTTAGGGCAAGAGGTGCCTTACCAGGTCCTCCCCTCCAGGCCACCTCGCCTCTGGCACAGCCTAGGCATCACAAGTGCCGACCCCTCCTGTGTCCCAAGGCTTAGGACCCGGGTGCGAGTTTGACATCCTGTGCTCAGGGAGGGTGCTGCCAGCACGGAACGGGCTTTCTTTTATTCGCAGTACTGAGAATCGAGCCCAGAACATGCTATCACTGAGTTATAGCCCCAGGCCTTTTTATTTTGACACAGGGTCTCACAGTCAAAGTGGGAGCAGCACTTGGGAACTTGAACTTGCGATTCTCCTGCCTCAGCCTCCCTAAGTGTTGAGATTACAGGTGCGCCACCACCATGCCCAGCCAGGGCAGGCTCTGTGTCTGACCAAGCAAGTTCTCGCCTTCCAGGGCTTCTAGGCCAGTGTGGGCTGCATGTGGTGTGGCTGGCTTGTGTTCCTCGAAGACCCTCTGGGTGCTTACTGGAGACCTGCTCCCACCCCCGCAAATGACCAGCAAGGATGGAAGGATGGCCTGCAGGTGACACAGTGTGGGGGCCATGTTCCTAGGGGACACATGGCATGGGTGCTGTGGGTACTCTGCTCCCTGGGCCAGGCCAGGGATTCCCTCGGGCCTACGATGCCCACAGACTTTCATTGGGGAGCTGAGTTCAGAGTCAGTCGGTCTGGGGAGCTGCCTGGGGCCTCTGTCCCAGCTCCCTCATCTGTAACTTCCATCCCCCCAAGAAGGCCCAGGATGGTGCCACTACCCAGGCCTGCTCCAGGCTTCTGGGCGGCATCCGGGAAGGTGTCTGGCTCCCCCCAAAACCAACTCCTGACATCTGCCGGGTGGTACTGCTGTCCAGGTTCCTGGCATAGGCTTTCGGCCATCATGGTCTTCAATGCCCCCCCGTGGCTGGGTGCCAGGGTCTCCCCAGGAACCACTAGACAAAGCCACATTACCAGGGCTCACAGCCCAACAAGGGACACAAAGAGGCTGCAAGGGTGACAGGGTTGGCAGGGCAGGACTTGTGTCAGAGCCCCTGAGCGCCCCTAACTACAGTACCAGCGTGTGGTCCCTGGGAATCCAGTACCGTGGGCACAGTGGAAGGACGGTGTGTCTGGGAGAGGAAGGGCAGGACAAGGGCTCCATCGAGGTGCGTAATGGGCTTGGGGATGTGGCTCAATAGTTTCTTTTTTTTTTTGGTACTGGGGATTGAACTCAGGACCTTATACTTGCAAAGCAGGCGGCGGAACCACTGAGCTAAATCCCCAGCCCAATGTGGTTCAGCAGTGAGCAACTGCCTGGTCCCCTATGTTCCGTGCTCCAAGTTCTGTCCCCAGATCCACCAAAAAATGACAGAGAGAGAGAAATATTCACTTTCAAAAGAAGAAGTGAGGCACAGTGGTGCACACCTGTCATCCCAGCAAATCAGGAAGCTGAGGCAGGATTGTAAGGTTGAGACCAGCTCGGGCCACTTGGTAATATTCTGTGTCCAAATAAAAAACACTCTGGGGGTGTAGCTTTGTGGTAAGCACCTCTGAGTTTGATCCCTAGGAGCTCCTGCCCAGCCCCACACCAAGGAGGCACCAATTCTGCCACCTTCCCAGAGTCCCCTCTAACCCTGGGCTCAGCCCCCCAAGAACAGTGAAGCCCCAGACCTGGCTTGTGCTCAGCACCCTCTCGGCCCTTCCTGGGGCCCCAGGTGCTGTCTGCAGACCCAGGGACCGGCAGCCTGCTGTGACTCCCCACAGCATGTCCACAGCCAGAGCACACCGGGTCTGCGTGAGCTCAAAGCCCCCACCCTGCCATTCCCCCCAGGCCCAGCACGTGGGGCGGGAAACACTTCCAAAGTCCTTTATTGGGCCGGCAAGGCCAGGAGCTGCCCTCAGAGTGGGGTCCCAGTGCAGAGCTGAGTCTTTGGCGTCCCTGCCCCTGTTGTGCCAGGGTGGGCTTCAGCTTGTGTTGACCTGCTACTTGGTGCGCTCCTTCACATACTCCCAGCCCTCCTTGGAGTACTCGAGGGCCATGGTGGGGGCCACCGACAGGGCTGACATCACTTTGATGATGCCTACAGGGGAGATGGCTCGGTGAGGCCCCTCACCCCAGGGCAACCACTTCTGCCAAAGTAACTGAGGCAGAGGTGGGGCAGAGCTGGGCTCACAGGATGAGCTCTCATGGGGCCCCAGGTGCCCTCCCTCCCATGCCACCAGACAACAGACAGCATCCAAGGGCACTCCACCATGCCCAGCTCCTCTCCGTGATTCTCCACCCTTTCCCCTCCTCTAGGGGAGACACAGGAGCAGGAAGAGGGATCAGCAGAAGGAACGGCCAGGAAGCAGGGAGGGTGCCATGCTGGGTGCCCAGGGCCACCTCCACGCAGAGGCACTGGGCCTACCTGAATTCCAGGACTCCCGGAGGGTAAAGTTAATCTTTGGTGGGGCTGGGAGCTGGGAAGAAAGAGGAGCGAGGGGCTAGTGCCTAGGGAAAGCTCAGCAGCCCCAGCACCCTCAAAGGCGGAGTGAGGGGTGCGGGCTTTCAGGACGGGCCAGCCCTCCTGCAGAGGACACCAAGCAGGGCTGGAGGCACCTGTGCCCAACCCCCGGTACCTGTGGGATCTGCAGGCCCGTCTGCTTGCGCACATACTGGCTGAACTGGTACATGGCCGGCGGAACCACCTCCTCCGCCCGCCGCAGGGCCGCCTCACTCTTGTCGCTGGGTCCCAGCAGCTCCTGGTCATACACCAGGTAGACGGCACCCCCAGCCACGCTGCCTTTGATGAGAAACCTGCCGACGGAGAAGAGAGGGACCCAAGCTCAGGGGACACTGCTCCCCACCTGCCCTCCTGGACGTGCCACGCATGGGCCCAGGGAGCTCATGGGGGAAACACAGGACACCGTGGGCGCCCACAGGGCCGGATCCCTCTGAACGGGACGCGGTGTACACTATGCAAGGCAGGGCCACTTACTTTAACTAGTAAACTGAGAACAGAAAAGGGGCAATGGTTCATTCGAGGTCCCGAAAAGAAAGGAGCAGTGAAACCTTAAGACCCCTGACCTCCTAGAAGACTCCGCAACCCGCGAGGTTTTTACTAAGTGTCCCGGTGCACTTCTTGTCTGTCACGGTGCTCTGGGAGTTAATGGGCATTCCCATTTCACAGACACGGCCACGGTGGCTCGCAGAGCTCTCGGGCACAGTGAGTCCAGGGACAAGGGCTCGCTGGGAAGCAGAAGGGAGGCGAGGAACGACCCCAGGAAGCCCCTATCCGTGGGTCTCAGTTTCGCTCTGTGCGCCAGGGGAGGTGGACTGACACTCCGGGAAGCGCAGAGCAGATGGAGACCCAAGCTGAGCGGGTGGGTACCAGCAGGAGGGGCCTCCCTCGATGGCTCCGGGACCGCCCGGCGCCCTACGCACCTCATCAGCGACCACACACGGGCCACCATGGTCGCTCAGATCCGCGCGCAAGGACACTCGACTCGCCCGCCGCTTCCGGTCGCGGGGGCGCAGAGGCCTCTGGAAGGTGTAGTCTCCCTTGTTGACCGCAAAGGCGTCGGGGAGTGGTAGTCTCGATAGGGCTCTGAGATGGCGCAGCAGCGTGTAGTCCCACGCCAAGAGGCCTCTGGGAAATTCTGGGCCACCGCAAAGCTGTCTGGGAAATGAAGTCGAAACAAGCCCAGAAAGCCCCGGTCTGCCAAGCCTTCTGGGAAAGGTAGTCCACCTCGGCCCTGGCAGGGTGAGATGTAAGAGGCGTAGGGGGTCTGGATTAATCCTAAAGGGGACCCTGGAAAATGGAAATGTCAGACACCAAGAGATCCACCCAAGCCAGCGCGAGTGATCTAGGCCTTGGACCTAGGAAGTGCAAGCCTAGAAGTGGGTTATCAAAGCAACGCTAAGAAGAGATTGTCCCAGGGAGGCGGGCCCGCTGTCACGTGACATGGCTTGGGGGTGTGGCTGCTGGCCGGGGATGGGGCCAGAGCCCGGGCCTTGACAAAAGGTAAAAGCGGACGCTGTTGCCTAGCTGGCACTGGTGGCAGGCTTAGTGCTTTCACTTTGCAGATGAGAAACCTGAGGCTCGGAGGAGCGGTGGGACTTGTCCAGGACACGCTGCCCTGGAGCTCTCCCCATGCCGCACCTGACCCCCAAGCCCCACCTGTACTGCTGTCTGGCCGAGCCGGAGCCCCCGGCTGCAGGCCGCTCAGGGGCACCAGATACGGGATCCCTGGAAGAGGAGGAGAGAGCATGTTCTGAGCTGGGTCCAGCCTCCTGTGTCATAATAAAATCCACCTTCCCTCACCTGTCTCTGAGGCTTACATTTCCTCACGCCTCCTAAGTCACAGGAGCTGGGAGAGGAGCCCATTTCACAGGTGGAAAAATGGAGGCTGAAGCAGAGCTGAACCTCATTCAGTAAGTCAGGGGGAGTCTGCTGGGCGTGATGGTGCACACCTGTGGTCTCAACACACTGGGCGGCTGAGACAGGAGTCCCAAATGGTGAAGCACTCCCGCTATAAAGAACGCAGGTATAAAAATAAAAGCTGAAGAAGGAAACAATGCTATAAAATGCTGCCCCTGTGGGCTAATGACCATTTTAAGGTGAGAAAGGCTGTTCCCACCCCTTGTGGTGGCCTATGGCTGTTATTCCAGGGGTCTGGGGCAAGATAGCAAGTTGAGGCTTAATCCTAATCAATTTAGCCAGACCCTGTCTCGTAATTATGTGTGTGTGTGTGTGTAATTTTTTTCATTTTTTCTTTTTTTCCCCACATTCGGGATACTCTCAATTGACCTATTTTTTTTTTTTTTTTTTTTTTTTTGGTACCAAGGAATGAACTCGGGTCCTTGCGCTTGCGCAGCAGGCGGCGAAACCACTGAGCTAATCAGTACGCCCTAGGTTTAATCCTCAGTACAGAAGAAAAAAGGTTATCCCAATCAGACCAGTCCCAAATTGAGACTCTTGTCTTGGAGCTAAAACTAAAGGGGGAGAGAGAGAAAGAGAAAAAACAAACACAAAAAAAGAAAAACCAGAAGCTGTTCTTTTGTTGTAACTTTATCTGATTCAGTTATTTAGGGTCCCATCCCTGTGACCTCTTAAATTAGCTCACGTGCCACAGGAGAGCACTGTAACACAGCTGTTCCCTGAAACCAGTACCCTTGTTGATGGTGGTTTTATTTCACGGCATTTGCTGTGCGTGTCCATGCGTGTGTATGTTGTGGGAGTTGAAACCAAGGATCTTGCACTGGGCTACATCCTCAGCTATGTATGTGTGTATGTATGTATTCATGTATGTATGTATGTTTAGAAACAGGGTCTCGCTAATTGGTAAACCATGCAGCTTGGGCTCGAACTTGGAATCCTCCTGTCTCAACCTCCCACAGTGCTGATATGACAGATGTGCACCACCATGCCTGTCTCCAGGTACTCTTCATATCTGAAACAGGCCCTGGAAGCTGAAGACACTGGCTCAGGGTCAGAGAACCAGCGCCAGAAGTGGAACTCAAATCTTTTTTTTTTTTTTTTTGGTACCGGGGATCGAATTC